CATGGTGTTAGAATTGATTTCGAAACCAAGAAATTTGATTACCTGTTTTGGGATCAGATCACATTTTTCAGGATGTAGCATAAAACCAAGATGCTGTAGGTGGTCAATTGTTGTAGCAATGTTGCGTTTACATTCCTCATATGAGTCTGAAATCAAACAACAATCGTCGATGTAATAAACAGACATGAAACCTTCATTTCTCAGTTTTGCAAAAACTGGCTTCATAATCTTAGTAAAAATGCGCGGTGCAGATGACAAGCCCTGCGCTAAACATGTGTATTGGTATATGGTATTTTTCCACTCAAACTGAAGGAACTTCTGAGATGTCTCAGACACGGGTACGCTATAGTACGCGTCTTTTACGTCCAAGGTACTCATATAGCAATTTTCGGTTATCATGTTTATGACACTTTGAAAGTTTTCCATTTTGAAATGTTGATATTCCACATGTTCATTGAGATTTCTCAGATTCAGAATTGTTCTTTTTGTACCATCACTTTTAGGTGTGAGGAAAATTGAAGATAAATAGCCAATCTTTGAATGCTCAACTGGTTTTAAAATGCCTCTTTCGAGAAATTTTTGAATTTCGGCTTCTACAGCTGAGCATTCTGAATCTGAGAAAATCATTGGTCGTGGATGGTCAGATCGTGGGATAGCGTTAACATCGATAAATTCAATATCATATCCAGCTATTGCATTCAAAATAGTTTGATCTGAAGTGATTTTCTCCCATTCTGAATAGAAGTATTTCAATCTACCACCTTTGAAATGTTTTAATTGAGATCTAAGAAAATCTCTTACCTCACTAGGTTCATGATCATTTGCATCTACTTGTTGGACTGTTTGTTGTCCTGGTTCTGGGCCGTGTTGCCTCTTCCTTTTCCTCGAGAGGATTTGTTTTGGGCGTAACCCTGCCGCTGACTGTAGTTGCGATTCTGGCCTTGGCCTAAAAAATGATTCTGGCCTCGTCCACGTCCACGTGTGCCACGTCCACGGTTTCCTCGGCCTCGATAACTGCCACGATAACTGCCTCGAGACTGATTAAAGACGCTTGAGTTAATCTGGGTCTTATTCATTTCTGAAATATCCTTGACTCTCTTGGTAATGTCATCCCCAAATAAAAATGTTGTTACAGGGGAGGTTTTGTCGCAGAGATGTTTGAAACTATGGGCAATGTCTGGTTTTATCAGCTCACGCCTTCTCATGTTAAACTTGTAGTTCGACAAACACATCATTTGTATGCTGTCATAAAGCAAATTTGCCATATTGCCAAATTGATCTTGGAATTCATCCGTCTTTCCTCCGACTGCAGTTTTCAGTGAATCCAAAACCTCTAAGGCTCTAGAAGTAGCCACTATGGAACACATCATTGGCTTGAGAGCTTGTTGCATTTTGATGTCACTCGAGCGGACCTCACTAGAGATGCGGCTCCATATTTGTTCGTTCCCCCTAGCAGCACATACAAGAGGGGTATTCGAAGGGGTTTTGTAATCATCAAGTTTTTGGCTTTCTTCGTCTCCCTTCAAAACATTCTGTATTAGATCATTAAGTAGGCTTGACATAGCCTTGTTTAATGGTGGTCCTTGACCCTCATTTGATTTATTGACCTTTGATTGTAACTGTTTCATTAGGTCGGAAGTATCCTCATTTTCACTGGATACTGTATCATTGTCTATACACGTTTGCATATCAGTTTTCATTTTCTTCACTGGTGTTTGATCAGAATCATCATGATCATTATCATTATACGAATCATCATCAAACTGGTCATATTCGTATCCACTTTGAATGGTTTCTTTTAAATCTTGCAATGAAGATGACATCATTTCCGTCAAGTCACTCATGCCTGAAGAAATACTAGATGTTATAGCCTCCGTGATGTTTTTAATATCATCGTTCTTTCCTGATTTCCTAGGAATTGTTTTTCGAGGCGTTTTCTTTTTTACACCTGATACAGACGGAGTTTCGTCTAGGATGGAATCATCTAAATCCATTTTCTCACATTCAGATGGGGTCTTGGCCCCTAATGGTTTATCTCTCACCATTTGTGAAGTCATTTTAGCTGTAACTTGCTAGTACTGTTTAGTAATTGCACTGATATTTAGCTGTTCAGAATGCGAAAACATGCAGCTATATTGTACAACTTATTTGCATGTAGGCTAGTGATATTGTAAGCATGTGCTCACGCGTATTATTCACTTTTACTTTATCGCAATTGGCTAACAAAAGAACCGTTTGACTGAAAACACAGTGGAGTGTGTGCAACGTAACTTTTAAACCAATCCAAGGCCTGGTTTATAGTTAATTAGCGTGTATTAAATACAACGCTCACTTGATCCCTATAGGAACAGTTATTCAATAGCGTATTCAATAAGTTAATAGATGTAAAACAAATCGCTATAACCTCTGATCAGGTTTGAAGCGTTGTTATTTATCAATATAAATTGAAGGTTGAGATCTCAGATCTACAACAGTGAATACTATTTTCTGAAACAACCAGACTTGGCCGGTGTTCAGAATGTGTAATGATAAAAACACTACTTTCTTATCGTACATGAAATTCAGACGTACCGATCATAAATTCCATAAATACATATAAATATGTATGTGATATATGTGCACTGTGATATACTACCACCAGTAACACTATCAATTGTGGAGTCTACAAATAGACGTCCACTCGGCTTGCATGTCAGCAAGAACTCTGATTGGCGCATGCGCAGAACTATCTCATGTAACCGGATATTGAGGTATTGTAAGGAGGTATAATTTTATTGATATACTTTGTTTTCTATAGACTCTATACCTGAAGCAGTTTCCATGGTGATACTTGTTAGTCTTCAAGCTTTCTCAGACAGTTGCACTTGCAAAAGTTTTCTCCGTGCAGATTTGAATCTTCACTTTTTATCAAAAACATTCAAGTAAATGTATGTATAATTCGTTCTTGATGACTTTTGTTATTTCTACTCCAAGTAACATTTTGGGTATACTAGACAATCACTAAAAAACCAAACATCATTTTACATGAAAACATGGTATGAAAATTGACAAAGCATTACTGATATCTGCAGTTATATGACAGCTCCAATAAGCCACAGTTAGATTTCTAATACCAAGGAGAGAGATTCCATTACCGATCTGACAGAATCTTCGTCAATGCATAAACTTCTCATTATCAAGTTTCGGTGAATCAAATAATAAGACAAGATAGATCCCACTTAGGACTCAACCTCGGGGAAAACATAGCCAATTGGGTAATTGAATTGACTGAAACACATATACGAGCTCATAGTAATCATGATTACAAAGCAGCTATATGATCGCCTGGTAAATGTATTCAATGAAGCATGGAAATTGTACAAGTGTGACTGCTTTGGAGTCACGATTTGTCATCAAATCACTGGCCCACAGCAGGATGATACTAACCGGTGTAAGTAGCATCCAATATGGTGGACAGATGACAGAATGTGTACACTAATGTTAAACCTACAATTTTAGTGAAACCAAGAAAAATCTGATTCTAAATATTTTGTCATATAAAGAAAAGAAATGCTCAACCACCTTTAGGATGATACTAACTCTAACTCAAATTGCATTTGGTTGACAAATAGGTGACAAAACGAACTGTATGGGGACAATACATTGGTAAATACTCCACTGAGTTGGTTTAATCAATGGTGATTTTATAAGTTAGTATATTCATCCATTTGAGTTAGTGGACCAGTGAAATGAGCATCGATGAAGGCAATGAACCATTAGAAGAGACAGATCTTTGGTCTGGTATCAATAAAGTTCTTCAACTTAAAAAATGAACCTTGTATTTTCTTCCCCTACAGGTACTCTATAATGAAACCACATGATAGCCTGCGTTTGAGCTGCTAATATGTTTTTTCTGTTTTCTATTTTGGGTAAATAGTTTTACGTTGGTATTTGTGGGAAAGTACTCATGAGCCTAGCTTCATTTATGGTTTGATAGACAGGAGTTTTACAAATATCAAATTAAATACAGATAAATCTCAAGTGTGAGATATATAACACATGTATTTAAGCTTGAATATAGAGTACAACATGTTTATGTGAATTACCTTTGAATTTCTTGTCTCTAACCTATTATAGCATCATGTTATACATGTTTGATGCATTAAAACCCATTCCTTTGAGATTATTTCAAATGCTTATCTCTTAACAACAGAGATTTAGGATGAAAACTATGGGAAAGAACTTTAGCCTATTTTTAATATGAACCATTCTAATATCTAGAAAGGAATCAGTAACATAGTCTTTGAATGTCAATTTAATAAAGCTGTTTGTGATTAAACAATTCTGTATAAGCATCATTTTGATATTCCCCATTGTATGACCTGATCATATTTGCACATCATTAGTTAATATGATTGATTCTGCTTGTCATGTGATGTCATATAATCTACGAAATTGTCTGAGTAAAATATTAAACAATTTATCATCAGACATTTATCAATGTTCCTATGTTGATTCGCTATATGTCATCATAACCCCTCCCACACACTGCGATAAAATAACTGAACAATTTAGAAGCAATATGTGTTATGAATTATGATTTCTCATAAAAAACAAGACCCAACTGCGCCTCACTTGGAAGAGTCAACATGCAGTGGGTCTTCTAACATTTTTACTTCCTTGGTTTAGGAGTTATTCATAATGAGAAATCATGGCCTTTAGCTTCACACTAGTATTTCTGGTTGAAGACAGAAAGATGTGATGAGTATCAGAATGGGAGTTATTACCCTTTGTATTTATTTGACTTGCTGTCATAAAACAGAGCTTCTCTAGTTTGTCAATAGACTCTGTCCTCCCTCAGGATACTAATTTGGCATGCAGTTGGTCTAATATCAGATTTATCAATATTTTCTTCACTTGGTTAGGTAACTAAATCAATCGAATTATTGTCATTATTATTACCAATATAAAAATACGAACAATAATGGAGTTTCTAAGGATAAAATAAAAATGAGACTTACAAATATGATGAACCTGGGTCTGTACTGGTAGGTGCCGAACAGGCCAACAATGACAAAGATAATCTGTAGAAAGTTGCCAATGATGGGCGCCCACATGTAGCCAAGGAAGTCGAACACTTGTCTCTCCAATGTTGCAACCTAAAAGTATAAATAAAATCACATGATCAATAGGCTGGTATGATTTATAGTAATTTTAAACATGGATTTTTGCTTTGATGTCCTAGTTTTGATATATTTTTGATTTACTTATACAGTAAAACCTGTATAATGGAACACCTGGGGTACATCAAAATAGTGTTCCACTTGAGAGGTGTTCTACTTATAGAGGTTCATTTTATGTAAGTTAATGAGTAAAAGGACATTATGTAGTCCAATTATAGAGGTGTTCAACCTGAAGATGTGTTCCACTTTACAGGCTTTACTGTATTGGATTTTGTGCTTCGATCATGAGTTCAGTTCATCATACATGTACATATACATGTATGTACCTAAGTACAAAATATCACAACATGATTGCAAACAGCTTTCATTATAGTCTTGTTTCTTGAATGTACCAAATTTTTGCAGCTATACAGATAACAATTTCACTTTTAGGTTTTCATCTACAGTAGAACCTGTCTAAGTGGAACACCCTTAGGAACAAAGAAATGTGTTCCACTTGCAAGGTGTTCCACTTACAGGGGTTAATTAACATTGAGTAAATTGACCATGAGACTTTAAAAACAGTGTTCCACTTGTAAGGTGTTCCACTTACAGAGGTGTTCCACATAGCAGGTTCTACTGTATTTATCATCACAACTTAGAAAACCTGTCCATGGAGAAAAGAATTATATAAAGAGAATAAATTGCATTTCAAATCTATGTTTTACAATTTGCAACCATCCCATATCAGTGCTACAATTTTCATATTCTTTATAGAGGAGAATTTTGGTTTTATAAAATACATGGAGGTGCTGCGCCTCAGAGGTTTCAATGTACGGAAAGCACTGCATATACATTGTATATTTACTACATAGAAGGAAATGGATAGTGATTCCCTAATCAACAAAGAATCTTAATCCTCACAACACAAGTTGAAAATGAAAAAAATATGTAGAGATTTTAGTCCAACTCTCTATTAGAACATATTAAATTACTAGATGTTAATAAAAAGACAAATTGAGAATAAACTTGTAATCTGTAATTTGATCAGGAATTGTAAAAAAAACTTTATCCTTTATATTTGAGTAGTTGTAATTTCACACAGGTCTAGATGCAGACTTTGTGAGTCAACAAATTTCAAGATAACCTCAATGTTCTTTAAAGATACTCTCACTGCTGCGTCTGGGATCATTCAGCAGCAGAGACAAGGTTTACCTTTCACTATAAGCTACCATGTGTATTTTCATATTTGGAAGAAACATCAAATAAACAGTACTTATGTTTGCCTATTATGACCTTATCTATCAATAAATTATTCTAATATCTGAAAGAAGTTAAATGGCAATGACAGCCTTTGTGAAATATTGCGTTTCCATGACTCCAATTTCAGGAGGGTCAGAGCATTAAGTACCATGAGAGTTAGTATAAAAGTAGAAAAAGCAGTATTTTATGATTCTAAAAGAAAACCAAACAATGAGAAAGGGTAATGTTACAATTGTTGAATTATACAGACTATCCACACACTTGGACAGTCCCAGTGGTGTTCAGATAAGACAGGTTTCACGGTGTCCAACCCAAACGCTCTTACATGTAGTGCTTGCAACGGTAATGGATCTCACTGCCGGTAAATTTCACCTCCATTACCTTACCGTTACCGATAATCGTTGATACTGATAATGTTCCTAAAATCCCGGGGAAAAACCTGAAAGTGAAACTAAAATATTTGGAAAAAATCCTTAACGAAGCCGATTTCTCAGCTTGATTTCCCGCTCACATCAACTACAGTGGATATATTGTATCATCGTGTATCTCGTGTGTGATTATGTATTGTTAGGAAGTCTTTGAATGATAATATAGAGTGAATTCGATCAAAATTGATCAAACTATTTGTGTTTGTTTTTACTTCACCGAAATATCACGTCACGTGATTTGTTAATCTCACGGCATGGGAGATGATTGACAGAAGTGGGTGGGGTTTTGCTTATCATCCCGCCTTTATCGAATGCTCTGCAGTTGATTGACAGATTAGCTCTTCAAATGTGGAGATTGAAATATACATGATTGATAAAATATTCTTAAACGAACATTGTTTCGTAAATTTGACAATGGATCGCAATGCCAATCATCATGTTGCAGCAGCATGGCGATTATCGGCAATGGATTTTATTACCGGTAATTGAGAGTATCTACTGCCGCTGCCGACAACCCGGCATTACCGTAAGGCACTACTTACATGCATACTTTATTTCGCTCCACAGCGTTTCTGCGTGAATGAAACGCTCCGTCATGTATGTAAGAGCGTTTGGATTAGACACCGTGGGTTTTACTGTAATAATGATGAATCCATGAAGCACATCTTTACCTTCCCTGTAAGAATTTCTAAAGGTGAGAATGATGTTAGAGACTGTTGGGAAAGGTTGAGAACAAGACTAATCTGTAACAAAGGCCAACATCAAAAACCTTGGAATATGGCCTATTCAAACACTTTTGGTCAGTCCCAATGGTGTTCGGATTAGACAGGTTTTACTGTTTCATGAAGCACATTTTTACCTTCCCTGCAAGGATTTCTAAATGTTTTAAAGATGAGAATGATGTTCGAGACTGTTGGCAAAGCGTTGAGAATAAGATGAAAGTCAGACATGGTACATTGTTTACGCAGACCTGTAATAAGTTTCCCTAGAAATGTGTTGATGTATGTGCCTATACACCCAGAATCTACCAGCTTTCCTGTGATCTATTTCAAGCCATTATGGTAAATTTACATTTGGATTAATAGCAATTAGATACATAATTTAATCTTGCATGGAAACTGGAATTATTCTGAGAAAGATCACATGGTAATCCAATCACAAATTAGCGAGAAATAGAGAAAAGTGTTATTTGAACTGCAGAGAATTCAGATTTTTTTGTTTAAAACAAGCTAGATAATCCCCCTAAGGTTTGTAATAGCTAAGGCCAATTCCTGACCTGATTTCTGATCACCTAAAATGTAAGATCCATGTTTTAATTAACCTGATTTCCATAATGTGAGCCTATCAATTTTTACATGTTTGATCCCTGTACTTCTGAGGGAATATGCAGAAGTAATTTTACGACCAGTTTGGATGAGTGATTGAGTAATAGCTTTTCCCTTGATTGTGGTAAGAGGTGTCATATTTTTGGTTGTTTTTAGAGTACTGGAAAACTTACATCATTATGCTATTACTGGCTTGGTGGGCTTAAGGTAAATCTGCATCAAGAGAATTTTCATGATTTTTTTTAATTATATAAAATGAAATAAGCAATATTTTTTTCATTTCCATGTGGACATATAGGCATATGGTAAAATGCATACAAAAAGCGAAGTATTATTAAGATTAAATGTTGAGATATCATTTACTCAATTTCCAACTTTTCCTAAAGTTTATCTTCCTTATGGTAAACTTAGACATGACCCGAAGAATATTGCAGAATGAAGAATGAATTGTAAACATTATATGAAAACAAAGGGTCAAGCATCTAGAGTTCAGAGAATCTTTTTGATCTCTGAAAGTGTTACATCTATAGCCAAATGGCCAGTTTCAAATCGATAGATCTCTTAGATTTAATTTACAGTAGTTATCACCGTTACCCATACAAAGCCTCGGAAATGATTGTACATATCAATTCTCCCATTGCAAACAAAACATGGTGTGTCATTCAATAATCCTAATAAAATTAGTTCTAATATACGCTTACAGTCTAATTTCTACTACAACCAGTCATCCTTTTTATATATACAATTAAAATGACTTGAACAAATTACCCGGACAGGTCATAAATAATTGCAACATTTAAAAAATCATTACAAGAAGCTTTGATGTAATCTCCTTCAGAAATATACCCTGCGTGCAGAGTCTAGTTAAACTACACTCTGCCTAGTAGAGACCATATTACAGTTTAGTAGCCCCGCCCCATGACGGGTACCAGTGACAGTATGGGTAAATCACTTTTGACCTACGCGCTGACCTTCCACCAATCAGCGAGCTTGAAGAAACATACGGCAAATGTGTTCTTATTAAATACGGGCTCAACGATGACGTCAGAAGGAATGACCATATAAAGAACGTCGGTCAAATTTGGCCGACGAACACTGATTGGCGCGGTGAGTTCACAGGTTTATTTTAGTTTGAAAGAGTGAAGACGAAGCTCTCTTTTAAGAAGTGTAGTCAAACGAATGCAAAGGGTATCAGAAATATATCACGATTTTTTGAATCTGCCAATAATTTCTTTCTCAGTGACTATGAAATTCTTCGCTCCCTCTTGGGACTTGGGTAATTTGCTCAAGATCATGAACTGTAATTTATTGCTCTCTTTGCTATCATAATACAGAGCAATTGAACAGTTACTACAATATGGTCTGCTAAAGTAATATGTACTAAACTGGTTTGAATGATCAATCCCCATAGTTTGGCAAGGTTTTCATAAGGAGCATGATATTTATTTGATTTTTATTTCAAAATCTGCTGGTATTTTATAGGAATTTTGTAACATTATCATTACTAAATATTTAGTACTAGTAATAATACTAATAATGTCTGTTTAGCTATCACATATACCATAATGTTACAGTTTTGATCTAAATGTTGCTCTGGCATCATGATACCATGACATCTCAAATCTTCTCAGCCTGAGATTTCAGGTGAAACAGAAAGATGCTATGAGTATCAAAATGTTGCTCTGGTGATATTAAGAGTTTGAATATTAACTTGTCAAATACAATTTATTTTTCTTCTCATTGATGTTTGTGCCTTTTCATTTAAAATAAGTTTGCCTGTTCTTCAATTTTATATCTCCAAGCTACCATGTGGTGTTTTATTTCTCTCATATACCCCAGTTTGTTTTTCTCTGTTGATAGCTCAATTGCAGTTTTTTAATTGAAGAATTAGGGTGGAATTCGTGAATCACCTTTAATAATGCTTGCGATGGCAAAGTTTATTTCCTGGGTTAAGAGGTCCTTTCTCATATTACTCAATTATGAAACAGATCTGTGAATTAGCCATGATGCCTGTAAATATACAAAGTGCCCTAAGTATTAGAGCCTTGTCAAGTTAAATTCTAACTTATGTTATTTAGTTGAGGATGATGCTGTAATTTTACCAATAGAATCATGAGTCAAGGTACAGGCATGACAGATGCTACAGAAGTAATGAACAATCACCAGCAGGCCAGATCTATAAAATTTGAAAATATTGCTCGAACCTCTGCCCCCTCCAAACTACCAAATTGTCAGTCTTTGTAAGAGCAACAGGAATGGGGGGGGGGGAAACAATGGAGGTTTATGAAAGAATACATTCGTTAAAAATTCATAGCTGAAAAATTTTGCTTCCCTGATACATGTACAATATCTCAAAATAAACAAATATTCCATTAGCTTTTCTACATTCAGCTCTAACAAGTATCATTGCATATAATATTGACCTTTGAAACGAAACATACAAGTGCAAATAATATACACAAATGTTGAACAGAAACTTGACCCAGAATTACCTGAATTGTGAAACATAAACGAATAAAGGAGTAATAAACTCAATACTCGTTTCTATTCTTTTATTCTTTTAAGTGTTTGCTTCTATTATTTCTGGTATACTTCATTGATTTGTAAGAAAATACATTGGACGAGGCCATTAAATTGTCAATAACTATGGATTTTTTCCATGTTGTTGAGAAATAAACTAATTCCAGTTTTGTATTCTTAGATTCTACATTTTTGAACTTCCTAAACATTAAAGGCTTTGACAAGGCATGTGAATGTAGCATACGAATAGGACCTATGGACATGGTTCAAATCAAGGTGTATCAAGTTTATTGATTAATAACTTTTACAACTCTATGGTGCTCAAATTCTTTACAAAGGCCACACCAAGAAGTACCCAATAGTTTGATTTTCCTTTTTTAAAAGAGACCTTCGTCTATGTTATATGTTACCCTTTGCATTTGTTCGACTTCACTTCTTAAAATAGAGCTTCGTCTTCACTCTTTCAATTTACAATAATTCTCTGATCTCACCGAGCCAATCAGAGTTCGTTGTCGAAATACGAACGACTTTCTATTATGGTCATTTTCTCTGACAACACCGCATAATCAATGGGCATGTATTTAGCACGTGTTCCTTCCACTTCGCTGATAGGTTGAGAAAGGATCACCGTGGTAGATTTGAAATGATTATTACCCGGGCTGTCATTTTTAAGGTGTGGCTGCTAAACTGTAATATAGTCTATACTAGGCAGAGGGTAGTTTATAATTAACTAGACTCTGCACGCAGGGTACCTTATATGCTAAGCTCTGACACCTAGGATATCCAAAAACCAACAGAATGGTTCTAAGTTAGTAGAAAGAATAATATATTTCATTTTCAAACATACACCATACAGAATATTCAGCATGCCATTATATATAATTCTTGCAATGATAGTCTAGTACAATAGGCAGTGATCTCCCCAGCATTAAAGCAAGTGGGCATTGTACCCACTGGAGATTTTAATCAAAAGAATGCACCCACACCAGACTCCATTTGCACCCAATTGAAAAAAATGAGAAATCATGAAAATTAGCCATAGTTTGACCAAATTTGGTTTAAATTGCAAGATTCAGAATTTCACACCCACTTGAGATAAAATCCTGAGGAGAACATTGATAGATGAAGCTCTCTTTTATGAAGCAAAATCAAACTATATTATTAATAGGGTAGCAAGAATTCTGGCTGATAGCTGGTAGGTACATAGTATAGATCTATTGGATCCCCTATATTAACAACACCCGATCAGTTTGATAATACCACCAAGGAGATTTATATTGACCAGATAATCTTACCAAAATTGGCTTAGCAATGTTGACGTTGCATCAAATTACATCTAGGAGTGAAAATAGATGAATGCTCCTATTAAGATTTCAAAGTGAAATTGATGTGCCATCCTAAGCCTTAATTATCCCTCATCAAGACCCTAATATAGTAATTGCAGATATAATTATATGTAATAAATGTCTATGGATATTTGAATTATCTAAGCTTTAAATTATTGAAAGGATATGATTGATTCATTCATTGTGCAATTGACTTGCACTCAATGTTGGTACAATATGCAGGATTTTCAGAGAAAACACATCTGGTATTCTGGAAAATTTTAAGATGCTTTCTAGACTATGGTTGTTTTTTCTAGCACTAGGTATTAAAGTGTAAGTTGTAGTCATAACAGACAGGTGTGAATCTAATGTCTTATATTCAATTGTACCCTTTCTACAGTTCCTATTCCCCCATCATACATGGATCAGATCTACTCTGTTGTTATTATCATAGTTCTTTTGTGCAATACCAGAAGATGACCAAATATGATACAGATGTAAATCAATCAAAAAACAGACATGTAAAAGTTGTTATGTATTGAATTTTAATCAAAATTGAACTTCCTCTATTGGTGTTCATATTACTCAAAATAATACCTCTAGCTAGAGGGGGAGGGGGGGGGGGCATTTTATAGGTCCCCAGTTTCAAAAATATACCATGCAGGATTCTAACCTATATCACTATATGCAGGATATATTAAACTCAATATAGAGAGGTGAAAGCTTGCATGTAAAATTGAAACGAAAAGTATAACATATTACTTAATCCAGTTTCAGGGTTCATGCTTAGAGTGGGATGCAGCATATAAAATACAGTTGGCAGTTCTATAGCCGATTTTCAGATACACAGGCCCGTAGCCAAGGAGGGAGTTCGATGGGTTTGTGAGAACCCCCTGGCCAAAACTCTTTCAAAATCATGCAGTTTTTCACCATTCTGAGCACTTTTTAAGTGATTTTGGCCATTTGTGGATCAAAATTGTCACAAGTGAACCCCCCTGGAATTTCTCAAAAAGTGAACCCCACTTTAGCATTGAAAGCTAAATTGCCAGCATAGTATTCAATAGACATGAGTATGATGATTCCCGTTGACACCATCCGTTACATTTCAAATTTTCCATTCTAAACAAGAATCACTGACTGGATCTACTGTGACTTGGTATTGAAGCACAGGAACTTTTGATGGTTGAGGTTTATAATGTCTCCGACTATACCTGTAATTCTCGAAATCGCTGTTCTCTCTTCAAAAGAGGAGACACGAAAATCTTTCCTTATATGGTCAAAATATTTCCCATGATGCAGTTCGCGGAGGAACAAATTTATACTTCCTTGTTTTCCCTCATAGGTTTTACATGGGGATTTTCACACATATTTTTCAAACGATATATTCGTTCATATTCCCGTACGAGGGTACAGAAAAAATTATTAGAAACGATTGATCTCTTATTAATCTTAATATAACAGCTATTTTCTTCATTGTATTGATTCATAGCGTGGTGAAAACGATGATTGAAAAGTGAGAAAATATTCCGGAAGAGAAGGTCACATGATCAGTTGACTAGTCGCCATATTGGAAAAAACAATTCCATTCGACTTTCAATACTTTCATGCCAATCTTACCGCACTACAAACTGCAACATCGATGCAACAACTGAATAAAAGTATTCATCTTCAAATTACATCATAGAGTTACGTTGAAAACCAACAAACAACTGAGCAGTAGACCAAAGAAGAAGCGTCGCTATTATCTAGGTCACTCTGTTCAGTGGTTCGAAAGCAAATCTATAGTACTCGTTTCCGAATTTTGTTGTTCATTGTACAATCTTTTATTGATTAAACTCGGTATACTGACTATTAAAGCAATGACAAAGAAGAATACTTCCGATGTTGTCATTGTTTTATTAAGCGTGCGGGTGTAAAAACAAAATTGCGTAATTAGTTTGATTTAGAACTTTCGGGTCACGCAAATAGCTAGGCGAAATGCATAGTGAGAAAATATTGACCAATCAAATTTTGTCCTTTTTGAGTGCTTTTTCAGTGCATATTTGCGAACGTTCTGATTCAAAGAGCGAATCGCGAAAGGGAGAATTTGTAAAGCTTGCCTCTTGTATGACTAGTCTAACGTCATGCATTTACTTCAGTTACTCCATCTAATTTTAAGGTAATATTTATCAAATTTAGGGAACAGATGTCACACCCAAACCTGTATGATCACTAGACTAGATTTCATTCACTGTCATACATCTTACAATTTATTTCCTGAGTTTATGAATCAGTCTCCAGATCCAGATTCTGTGTTGAAAAAATTCAAAAAAGTTCAGGAGAAACTTACCAGCTGTATAATGCAGATTGTTATCAGGATACATCTGCCCGTACAGCAGCCCATGTTGTCGACTTTGATTTACTTATGATAATGTTTCCATTGGACTGTGGTGATGAAAAAAGTTTGTAGAAACAACAAAGCGAAGTAAGTCACTCATTTTCCAAAATATTGTGTCTTGTCACTCCACAGGTACTTTTACGAAATACGCGGACACATATAGTGCGAAATGTATTTCGATGTTTATTTGTCAATTTTATTCTATTTTGAAATATTAATAAGTATAACGAGTATTTTTCATGTTTCCCTTACTTGAAAAGTACATTATAGTCGATCTTAAAGTGAATATAAAAGTTCAAATATTTTGCGGTTAAGGTCTCATGGAAGTTAACAGGAAATGACAAAACAGGAAGTGACAAGATTATTTGCATTTTTAGATATTTTTTGAACAAAGATAACAGAGTTCACTTTTGACCTCCAGTCAATTCAACTAGTTCCAAATACCATTTACAGGTCCAGGATCACAATGTTTATGGTCAGAATGACCCTAAATATCATGAAATAACCTTTTCAGCCCTATGAAAATGTGACTGAAAAATAGCTAAAAGAAGGAGGTAGGAAAGGTCACCGAACAGAATCTTTTGAATTTTTCAGAAAATGTGCCCAATATATTGCTCTAAATAGTACAATCTTTGAAAATTTGATATCATTCATAGAAAGAGAAAAAAAATGAAAAAACTGATTTCAAAAGCGATCTATTTTCCTTTTTATGACCGCCATTTTTGTTTACGACAATTTTCTAAAATTTCAAAGATTGTATCAGTTAGAGCATTATATTAGGCACATTTTCTGAAAAATTCAAAAGATTCTGTTCAGTGACCTTCCCTAGCTCCTACTTTTAGCTTTTTTTCAGTCACACTTTCAAGGGACTAAAAAGGTTATTTCATCATGTTTAGGGTCATTCTGACCATGCACATTGTGATCCTGGTCATGTAAATGATATGTGGAAACAGTTAAATTGACTGGAGGTCAAACCAGAACTCTGTTATCTTTGTTCAAAAAACGTCTAAAAATGCCAAAAAAATTGTCACTTCCTGTTTTGTCATCTCCTGTTAACTTCCATGAGACCTTAATGCGGATGGGTTTCCCAACATTTGAAAGGTCACCTCGCTATTGATAACTTTTGGCCGTATATCCTCACAAAGTTCATTCTCCTGGCATATGTATGGAACTTTGAAGTCTTTTTAAACTTAAATAGATTAAATTCATTCTCTAAATGGTCATAATTGAAGTAATTGAAATATAAAATAGTTCTCGTAATTGATTGAGCATGCGCTTCGGGAACTTCCTGTATTTTGACCTACTTCAATGTTTTTGTCATCTATTTCAAAATTGCTAAACAAAAGTGGAGACAACTGCTGTAGTAGATCTAATGCGAACTCAATAGCATAACAAAAGTAAGGGGTAATAACTTTGTTATCATGGGTTCAAAGAAGCGGCAAGATGCATCGAAGAAGGGGACAGAGAAATCTTCGAAGAAAGGTGAGAAAAAAGTTTGTCTTGTCAATCAATTCAATGAACTGACACATGTTATCCAGCATGTATTCCACTGGAAAGTACACACAAAGTTTTGCATAGAAGATCGCTTGCGTTCTCCTTTGTATTTAACAACATACATAAGAGGGAGCAACAAACTAAATGATTCGTAAGTGTGCAGTGGTACAAACCACAAGAACTTGAAGCGCCATCCATAGAAACGCAAGGGAGAAATTGTGATGTTTTCTAGAAGTAGAAGAAGAAAACTTGTTCAAATATTGAAAAATTTAAGTGCTAAGTTGTCCAAAATAGCTCATGTGATCTCATTTCAAGGATAAATTATTTTTATGTCACAAACAAGCTGGCCTAAAATATTTGAAGATCTTCAACTTTGAAGCAACCAACGATTTACACAAAAGTAACAGAACATTCCTAGACTTCCCTTATATTGTTGATTTTGCCCTTTTCACAATTTTATTTTTAAAATTTGTATAACAACCTTAGGGCGCCTCTGACCAACTGCTGAGCATAGTGAAACGATCATGAAAGAGAATGTGCTAAATTCAAAGCCCGGTGTGGGAATCAAACTTAGACCCTCAAGTTCAAACTGGACCCTCAAGTTCAAAGTTTGTTTTGTTTGTATCTTTCTCTGCGTTCTGATGTTCAAAGTCTGGAGCTCTACTGACTGAGCAATTTACTATCCATGTTCCATTATCATGTAATGCCACCCCCCTCGAAGAACAATGACCCATCGTCATCCTTATATTGACATAGGCACATACCTTATCTAAAACCAATGTAACAACCCAAGGGTATCTCCAGCCTTATAGTGTAACAAGAAGGATACAGACATTAAAGAGAGTGTGCTAAATTCAATGTCCCATAAGGGAATTAACCCAGTACCCTCAAGTTCAAAGTTATATACCCTCCCAGAGATGCTCTACTGACTGAACTATAGGAGCTTAAGCAACCTGTAACTTGCTATCCAGGATCAGAACATTTGTATGGAATCAACTCAACGGACTTATAATGTTCAGTCATGTTTCACAGGTATACTGCTGTGTAATTTATTCTTCATGTTTCACCATGGGGTTTTTATTAAAGAATTGCATGAGTGTAACATACATGTACTAAACATGCAATGCATCATATCATTCCCTTGAGTTGAATTAAATTTAAGCATGCCCAGCATATAATTTGATGAAAAATGATGTCAAAGTGGATATTTTATATTAAATTTAAATGTATTATTAATGTATTTAAATGTATCATTTTAAATTTATTCAGTCATTTGAGGCAAATGTGAATTCTGAAAATGAGAATTTTGCACCCACACTGAAATTGGTCAAAATATGCATATTTTTCATGATTTTTCTCGAGGGTGCAAATGGATTTTCAGGTGGGTGCAAGCCTGATTTTAAAATCTCAGGTGGGTGCTACGCCTACTTGCTTTAACGGTGGGGAGATCAATCCTATATTTTAGGATCTTACTGATTTAAATTGGATCACTTTATTATATATCTGTATATGTCCTAGCCTGAACTAAAGCAAATGATTTTCAATTGTAGATACTACTCAGAAATCTCAGCCTAGTACACCTTCAAACAACAGCAAACGTAAATCTGAATCTGCTAAAGACACGTCACAAACTGCAGGCTCTTCAACCAGAATATTCATTGTACTTCTTATACTAGGTACACTAACAGCTGGCACAGTCTATGTTTACATTAACAATATAGGAGACTCCCAGATTATCCTAGGTAAGGGAACCTTTCAAAATATCAATATTATTTCAAAAGCTCAACTGACTTAGTTTATAGATAAAGGGGAGAAAAAAGAGAGAGGTAAATAGTTTTATGCTGATTTAATTTAGTTACACCCCTGTCAGAACAGGGTGGCGTCCTTACTGCACTGTTGCTGCCGTACAATGACCAAAAATGCACAAGGTCAGCGGCAAGCGTGAACATAATGCGAAAAACACACTTATGGGATTAAGATTGAAATCTTTTGGCTATGTGATAATCAGTGAACCCAAGGCAATTACAATGTTGCCGTTGAAGTGCAGTAAGAACGTCACCCCAATTTGATGGGTGTATTATGAAATCACTCAAATTTAAACTATGTTTTTATGGTTTGTGAATTGATATTTGTTTCTTAAGTTTCTGAATGAAATTGCACTATTGACACATTGACACACAAAGATCAATAAATTAATTTTTATTAACTTAGCAGATTGAACAGATTGAACAGATTGAGATGTTAAATGCTGAGCAGTACATTAAATGCCTGGTAATTAATGGCTCACTTCAATTTTTATGATTGAGTTTTATGTTAATTATTGAATTATGATTTATATGTTTTCCAACCCTGAACGCAAGACTTAGTTCAAAATTAACGATGAAGATGAAACTCACTTCTAAGAAGCAAAGTCAAACAAACTGAAAGAGTATCATTTTACCAAAGAGAGATCATTTTTGTCTAAATTTTTTAATTAAGGATACATGTAACATTGTTGATATTATAGTTCAAACTTAGATCTAGGTTTAACATACAAGTTTAACATTTTACATGGAGACTCGTATGATGTTAGTCAGTATTGTACTTGTATAGCCTGAAATCACAGGTTCATAGTAAGAGGTGTTCACCAGGGCCTAAGGGCATTAAAGTGGCCATAGGCCCAGGCTTTGCAGTAGAGTCTTAATTTATAACAATGGTAAAACGTGAAAATAGTGATCACATACTTGGGTACATATCAAGCCTTCCCTAGAGGCAGAACTCTTTCAAGATATATTTTACGATTTATAAAAGCAGATGAAATAAGCACTTCAGAATTCTATGACTTTGATCCCAATTTTGCAGGACACACTCTCTCTTTTGGCTATGGCTTATAATGCTATCAGACCTTCTTCAGGTGAACCCCTCTCAGTTTGAATACCTGCATTCCATCCTCGGAGGATGCTGCATTCAGGCATTACAATCCTCCATCCACTGGCAGATCCAGGGGGAGGCCCATAGGGATCTGCCAGTGCCGTCTATACAGTTTCACCATAAAATCTTTATTGCCTGATTGCATTGTTATTCTGGTACCCTAAATTCTCAACCCACCCCTCCTTTGTAGCTATTACTCTGCATTCGACTATGTTATAAAGAATCAGAAAATGGGCACCATATATGGTAAAACACTGAAAGACATTCTATTGGTCTTTGTGATTACATGTATATATGTATTTATAATCTAGTCACCTTTCATAGAGGTAATAGGTGACATGTCATTTAACAATCATTTGACATTTGAATTTACATGTATTATTTTATCAAATTGTGCAACATGGTGTGATATATTGAATTTTAGCTTTCACTTATTGATATTTATGATGACTCTCATGTACACTATTGTAAAGTGACCTTATAATGACCAGTGTCTCATAAGCTGACATCGGCTTGTAGTACTTTTGTAGTATTTTAATCATGTTCTATTTATGTGTAAAACATGTATGAATATACCAGGGACACTATACACTATAATAAAATATTTTAATAGAAATGAATAAATTATAAACTAACAAATCAATCAAAAGCATGTTAAATGACACTCTAATTACTCTGATGCGAGAAGGTAGTTACCAGTTTCGCCACCAGGTGGCTGATTCGGGGGAAATAACATGGGTATTGCAATATTCCCTTAAACTTGAATATTCATCAGTTTTAGTGGTTCACTTTTCATATTACCCTTATGTATGTGATAGTTATACAATTTAAAATATCTCCAAGAAAATATTATCTGCCCAACACAAGAAAAGATATTTCACTTTTTGTGGTTTTACAACATGGGGTCTATGAGGAATCTCCCCGACCTTGAAATCACATTTTCAAAGAAAATTAAATTTTCAAAAGTTGATAAACTCTTTTCAAAACCACATTTCTAGATGTAATGTTACATGTAGATTCAAAATATGACATCAGTTTTACTGAATTGTGACTCTTTAATGACGTAAATCAAGATTATTTCTACTTGCATCTAGGATATTGAAACACAAGCTATTTAAGTATGACTACTTCAAACTACATGACTTGTATATTTGACTGGTTATAAATGGTAATATCTTCATAAAATCCTATATGCTTTAATCTTTGTCAAGCGTACCATTCTTATTTTTTTACATATTTCTATTTTTAGGTAATTTTAGAGAATCCATAGAGGCTAGTTTTACATCAATATTTAAATCAACACCTGAAAAACAAACAGCTAAACAACCAGATAAAAAACAAACATCTAAACAAGCAGATAAAAAGCAAACAAAGAAAGACAATGCAGCTGAAAAAGAAAACAAGCCAACAAAACCATCAACTCAGGAATCTGAAGCTAGTAATAAGGCAAAAGAATCAAAACCCTATGCTAAAGCTAGTATTACTAATAGTGCTGATCAAAACATTCAAAAAGAACTTGATACTGCAGATGATCTAGTTCAGGTAAGGTTCTATTCAGTATCCTATGACTTATTTTTTGTTTAAATTTTGAATCTTTTACTCTACTCGTCTACTGTGATCTTTTGAAAATATTGCAAGGGTCAGTATATGGTGTCAAAAATGCTATAATTTACAGTATTTTGAAATGTTATCTTCGTTATGATTGGTACAATTATCACGCCCGGTGATCGCACAAAAATGATGGAGGGGGGATTAGGCGATTTCTGCAAGAAAACCCAACAAATTTGGAAGATTTATTTTTTCAAGAGAAAATTTGCAACTGATTTGCCAAATGAATAGGCGCAGTGCATGGCAAAATATGTTAGGTCATCTAGTATTTTTTTTTGAAGTGATACCCTTCTAAGATATGAGATCTATTAACCCTTTCACGACGATAGGCTCCATATGGAGCCCTATTATGTAATACCTTTCAGGACGATAGGCTCCTTTTGGCACCATTATTTTTATTTATATACCTCAATGAAATGACAATATCTCCAGTTCTATTCAGTATTTTTACACCAAATTTTGACAAGTTGTTCTAATGTGATAATCCTCACTAAAAATTGTATTTCAGTGATAAAATCCAAAGTATAGGTCATGGGCCGAAGGTAATTTGCAGTTTTCCTCTAAAAACCGCTCTTACTTATCCGTCACCAGGGCCAACATTTTCCTTTTATATTCACGTTGGGAAAGGGTTAAAAAAGGCGCATCATCACCAACGTGCAAAAGTCAATGTTTTGCTATAAATCGGGCAACAATGGTCTACTCAACCTGTAATAGATAGGTATAAGGGACGTTATTATCACAAAACTAATGACATTGCTCACTTTTAAAAGTTAGTTTCCATGCGTTATACAAAAAATAATCGAAATAAATTAATTTGGAATGGAGGGGGGGGGATCGGATGGACATCGTGATTCATTTTTACATTTTCATTTGACAACCATTTAGTGAATGTACATTTCGTGAAACCCATATGTCCAAACAACTCTCAATTTGAACACTTTCTTGGTCCCAATTTTGTTCTCATTGATTTGCATGGTTTTGATTCAGTGTAAATACATGCTTATTTTAATTACTTACCCAATGTAGCAGAATTATATAAAGTGCATATGAACAGAGAAGGACAACACCCTTTTCAAAGTTTAATTTTGCTTCTTTAAAAGAGAATACTAGGCTCTATGTACCACCAGAAAGGGATTTTTGGTATGCTTTGAATGGAACAAGTTTGAAGAAAAACGGTGCAGTATGAGACTCGTAATCCTTGATTTTCAAACATCCGGTAGGTCAAAAATTCAAATTAATGGTCGAAGTTAGGACCGCGTGGGAACAAACTAATAGTTCGAACTTGATTCTGCTCTGCTCCCTAAGTTACAATACTGAATTAAATCGATGAATGTTTTGTTTAAGCTAATCTTTTGCAATGTAATTTCATATAAAAATAGATTCAATAAAAGCTTTGTGGATTCTGAAAATATTGTGATTTTGTTTCACCTGAATGTTATACATAACACTTAGACCCACAACGGAAAATTTAATCATATTTTAAATAAAATCTGGCTGTTCTATTGGCTATTAAATTACCCTTCTACTAGCTATCTAGGTATCTAGCTTATAGGCTGTTATAAAACCTACTGAGTTACTCCCTGCTGAAGGACAGTGGCACAGCTGCTGCTTCCACTCTAATCTAAGTGATAATACAAGTTCCATGAGCTAATTCTGAAAACAAATTCTGACAGCAAAATGAGTATTAAATAAAGTACCTTATCTTTTGTCTTGCACTAGTCAATGACTATAGTGTGCATTTTTTGAAATTATAACTTATGTGTCACTGATTTTTCATCTATAAAATACTATATGATTGATTTAGTACAGAATGTTTATTTTTATATGTTAAAAACAAGTTATATCATCATTGTGGATTGTGGATTGTAGTCCCATAGCCATATTATTGTGTCTACTTTTAGAGAAAGCCAAATGATGCAATAAAAAAGTATGATGCACTCCTTCAACGTTACCCACAAAGCCCACGTGCCATATTTGGCAAAGCAGAGGCCCTCTCGAGACTAGCAGAGCTTGAACGCAGCAACCGTTTCTTGGAACAAAGCATCAACCAGTATCAAAAGGTAGGTATTGTTACTGAAAATATGCTAACGTTTTGTTTTTTACTATCCATTCCTAATATGTGTACTATCCAAATTATCAATAGCTGATATATGTACTATCCATACCTAATATGTGTACTATCAAAAATTGTCCATATCTGATATACGTACTATAGTGGAATCAATTGGTGCAAGGCCCCCATAGGGACCTTGCGTTTTCATACTAAAGTTTGTTTTGGAATTTTTTCTTATTGTTCTATGTATTTCAAGACATTTTAGAGACAGGGCCCTTTTTCTAAAGCCCTTTTTGGAAAAATAATTGAGATTACAGAGGATACCCATTATTACTGCTTTTTAACACAATGTTTAACAGAAAATTCAAATTCCAAACTCCTTGTCTCACTATATATTCACCAATGGAGAATGGAAGTTGAGCAACCAAACTTGGCACAAAGTTGGACCCTAAGATAATCTCTAATCTGAGGGGTGTGATCTTTTGTGTAATCATGCATTTGCCTAGCAACCTCATAGCAACCATCTAAAATAACACATTTTACAATATAAATCCACTTAATATATGCTAGGATGCTATAAGACCATTACAGAAAGTCTTCTTATCATAAAATACAACAATTCAAACATATTTAAAGAAGTGACATCACCATGTTGCATAGCAACAACATGGCAACAGGTTACAATGCCCATTTTGACATTTGCACACCATATTCCTATTATATGCTCAATTGTATGCTTTTGGATCCCTTCCACATTATTTCTTAACATACAAAAATTGTATTTAAGCATAAATGATGCAGTTATGCCTGACCATTTTCCCTAGCAACTTCCTAGCAACGGCTTAAAATAATGCTTAAATTTGCCTAGCAATGACCGAGCAACAGCTTAAAATAGCAATGTTTCTCATAAAAATCTCACTATATATCCACTATTATGTAATATGTATGTCTTTTAATTTATAAAGCTTTGTTGCTGCACACTCAAAAATCTGCAGTCTCTTGTGTAAAGCATGATGGGACATTTCTTGTCTTATGTTTATCAAACTTCAAAAGTCCTGCAATTCATGTTTCAGTTCTGAGATAAAGTAAACACAAAATATTCATCGTATTTATCCTTGTTACAGTTTCAGCATTAATATCCATAAGATAATACTCTATTTGGGTTAATTGCTACAATTTCCTTTGCAATTGCATAGTTTCGGTGCAGTAGAATGCACCATGGCATTTTCAGTTCCCTTTGCAGTCACATTTGGTGCATCCATATTTAATTATGACTTTACATGCCTCAGATGCTTGCGACAGTATTGTCCATCTGGGTATGCACAATCCTGATGCATCCTAAACCATCCCCATAGGTTTGTTGAAGGAAGAACTGGATCCACTATATGCCATTGCCCCCATACATGTGCTCCTTGGAGCATGACATTATAGAGTGCTGCATCGCATGTTGGAGGTAATCTATCGGGATCCATCTGTCATGAGTGAACATGTGCCCGCGCATGGTATTGTAATTTGTCTCGCTGTTTGTAGGCTGGTAAACCAGGATAATGAACCTCTCATTTTTTTGTGCCAATACCTTCTGTTGTTGTTACGGTTGATGGGCAATCTGCTAGAGTCAAAGGGACACCTGTTAGATCATTACATAAGTTCCATTGCTTGAAAACTGTCACCTTGCTCTGATGGTAAAATCCAGATATGGTATCAGTTCCAGTATGGGCATGGAACATTTGCTATACATATACATATCGCTGCACTTTAGTTCATGAGATTGCTAGAGCACTAGGACCACAAAGATCATGTGCGTTGCCAATGTTCCACATCCTTACTGGAACTGATACCACATCTGGATTTTACCATCATAGTAAGGTGACAGTTTTCAAGCAATGGAACTTATGTAATAATCTTACAGGTGCCCTTTTGACAAGAAGCATATGTATGTGGGCAGTGGTATATAGTGGATCCAGTTTTTCCTTCACCAAGCCTATGGGGATGGTTTAGGAGCCCATCAGGATTGTGGGTGCCCTGATGGACAATATTGCCCAAGCATCCATAGCATGTAAAGTCATAATTAAATGTGGATGCACCAAATGTGACTGCAAAGGGAACTGCTAATGCCATGGTGCATTCTACTGCATCCAACTATGCACCTGTAAAGGAAATTGAAGCAATTCACCAAAATAAAGTATTATCTTAGGGGTATTAATGCTGAAAATGAATCAAGTATTAATGTGATGAATCAGAACTGAAACATGAATTGCAATTTGATATACGTAAGACAAGAAATGTCCCATCATGCTTTACACAAGAGACTAAAAATTTTTAAGTGAGCAACTATAAAGCTTTATAAATTACAAAAGACATATATATTGATTTTTTTCAAGTCATATATAGTGGATATATAGTGAAATTCTTATGAGAAACATTGCTATTTTAAGATGTTGCTGGGTCGTTGCTAGGGAAATTTAACCTTTATTTCAAGCCGTTGCTAGGGAAAATGGTCAGACATAACTGCATCAATACATTTGCAATATGTTAATAAATAATGTGGAAGAGATCCAAAAGCAGTGAACATATAATAGATATATGGTCTGCAAATGTCAAAATGGGCATTGTAACCTTTTGCCATTTTGTTGCTATGCAACATGGTGATGTCACTTCAGTAAATATGTTAAAATTATTGTATTTTAGGAAAAGAATACTTTTTTTGTAATGGTCTTATAGCATCCTAGCATATATTAAGTGGATTTATATTGTAAAATATGTTATTTTAGACGGTTGCTATGTGGTTGCTAGGCAAATATAAGATATCACAAAAAATCAAAGCCCTAAGATTAGAGTTTATCCTAGGATCTAACTTTGTGCCAAGTTTGCTTGCTCAATTCCCATTCTCCATTGGTGAATTATAGTGAGATAAGGAGTTTGGAATTTGAATTTTCTATTAAAATTGTGTTAAAAAGCAGAAATAACTAGGGGTGGGACGGATAACCGAAATACCGAAAAACCGCGGTTCATAGCCTTCGGATCGGTTTTCGGATCACGGCCCTACTTTCGGATCAGCTTTTCGGATCGTTTTCGGATTAATATTTCATTGGTCAAGTATCAATAAAACAGTTAAAAACACTGTTTTACAGCAACATTTTTGATATTCCTAGTCCCTACCTTGTCTGTCTTGTCTGTTGCTAGCTCACTCGTTTACTAGATTCGTTTCGTATCCGCGTATTCGTATCCCTCGGTAATCAATCATGTGGTCCCTGGTACTATATTCTTTAGTCGTGTATTCTAAATAATATGTATTGTTCATGAAATACTTTAACATAAAATTCCATCTATAAAATATTGTTATAACGTGGCATAATTAATACAAATCATGTCAATCAATACAAATCCTTAAAATGAATGAACCGAACCGAAAAAACCGAACCGACGGCTGATGATCCGAAAAACCGAACCGAACCGAACCGAAACGAACCGTCCCATCCCTAGAAATAACAGGTATCCTCTGTAATCTCAATTATTTTTCTAAAAAGGGCTTTAGAAAAAGGGCCCTGTCTCTTAAATAACTTTAAATACATAAAACTATAAGAAAAAACTCAAAAACAAACTTTAGTATGAAAACGCAAGATCATTCACCAATTGATTCCGCTACTATCATGGGCTTTCAACTAGATATCCAAATTATCCATACCTGATATATGTAGTATCCATACCTAATATGTGTACTATCCAAATTATCCATACCTGATATTTGTACTATCCATACCTAAAATATGCACTATTCATACCTACTATGTATATTTACTAGCCATACCTTGTATATATACTATCCATTCCTAATATGTATACTATCCAAATTATCCATACCTGATATTTGTACTATCCATACCTAATATATGTACTATCCATTTTATCCATACCTAATATAGTCTATGTACTCTTCATACCTACTATAGTACTATGTACTATCCATACCAGATATATGTACTATACATTCCTCATGTGTACTTACTACTATCCATACACTATCCATACCTTGCAAATGTACTATCCATTCCTAATATGTGTACTATGTACTACTATCCTACTATTATTTACAGGTGCTTGATGTTTTGGATGTTCCTGATGAGCTCTTCAAGAAAGCAGCAAGGACCTGTAGGGATAAGATGCAGTTCAGAGGTACATGTTCCTTAAATATGTACTAAACAATGAGTTTCATGAGACTTTTATATTCGGTGACTGAGGTGTTTTACATAGTTTTACTATAAACCAATAGCAGCATGTAATTCGATACATTTATATCTTTGAGTACTTTTACTTGAAATGGAAAACTAGGAAACCAAAGATATCGATTAGACTCTATGGAGAATCCATGGAGCGGGACAAATAGAAAATAAATAACAAATAAATCCCCTATGCAGAAGTTATTGATAGAGAACAATATTTTGATGTTGAAAAATAAATTTCTATTTAACTTTTCGATGAAGTGCCTTATGTTGGAGAAAACTCAGCAATCGGCAATCGTGATTTCTAGCATATACTCTATGAATTCATGATATATGATTTTGTGAATTGTATGATGGTTGGTAAGACCATATATTAGGTTTGGCCAAGTTGACATATCAACTGACTTGCTAAATAATTGTCTATTAGAATACATGTCTGAGGTTAAATCAAGATATTGTTAACCTATAGAACAATAGCACACATCATTACCAGCATATTTTTTAATTGATTTTCTTGTAGAACATGTTTTCACCTCAGAAACACAGAATGTATTGACTTTCCTTGTTTTCTTTAGCTTGAAGACATTTTAGTATTACATGTATAAAGTTAAAGTAGAATCTTGATTCAAGTTTGTTTTTGCTCCTTAAATGAGAGCTTCATCAACACTCTTTGAGCAAGAAATAATCTTTTGAACTAGGTTTAACCAATCAGGATACTGACAATACTGTCAATCCAAATGCAGCTACCTATTCATTTTGTGTCCAGCGGTTGATTTTAAGCATTTGATGATTGATTTAACATCTGTAACGAATAGAAGGCGGTGATATTTATCATGATAATGCCTTGTTTACATTCCATCTTTACTTCATATATTCCTCACTCACATTCCATCTTCCATACTATGCCATCTATTTGAGTCCATAATTTTATTTCATTGCATGTACAGAATACTTTTCTTCCATCTTATTTCCCACCACATATCTTCATTAATGCATCTCTGTATATCTTTATATGTTTGTTCAATGTTGTAGGTTGGATGGGTAAAGCAGTAAAGGTGATGCAGCAAGCCTCTCTCAAGTTTTTCACTGACAATGCTCTGAGGAATGAACTAGGGGTGGCATACCTCATGATGGGACGGAATGAGAATGCAAGGGGAGTGTTCCAACAGGTATATGCAAAATATTATGGCACGTTTAGTATGTTGTAATTAACCCTTTGTATGATACTAACCTTTTTAATGGCTTGGAAGAAAACAGTTTCTAGACTTTCTGTCTTCTGTCTCGAGGTTCCTTAATCTGTGTGTGTGGTGGGGGGTTGAGTGTGGTCTCAGAGTGATAAAGCCAGAATCTGAGATGTAGGGGGTTACGATATTACTAGCAACATGCATGTTCTATTAACCTTCCAATGTTACCATCTCAAATATAATTTTATCATTAAGCGACATGTCTTTATGTTACTATGCAATGAATAAAAGATGTTGTCTTTTAGTATAGGTTGATCATCCATATTAGTTTATATATAGAAAACAACTCATAAAACAATAAATCATTCATCGTGTATTTCAGTGAAACAATGCATCTGACATCAGGTTTTGCTATAGAATTGCAGATATGTCTCATGACTCATGAAATAATTCATGAAAGAACTTTTAATCAGGATGAATTCTGAAAGACATCTGCTAAACAAATTGATGATCATGTAAGTGCTATTCTACACCACTAAAAATATATATATTTCTCACCTGATTACCATTCTTAATTTTCAGGTTGTTGACCAAGAGCCTCACAATGGCTATGCTCTCGTCCATCTAGCATTTGTGGTTAAGACTATGGATCTGAATTATGAGAAAGCTATTCCAATGTTCATTGAGGGCTTGGAGTCTGGCGATGAAGGAACAGATGATGGTCGCTTCTACTTCCACCTTGGGGAAGCCCTCCAAAGACTCAACAGGACTGAAGAGGTATGCAGAGTAGAGGATTTCTGTTTTTCTGTCACCACCGAGAAGTTTCATATTTCCATTTTCTTCGTATCTATTGTTGTTACATTATTTTGTGATATAGCAATAACATGAAAAGTAGTGGTCCCTTGTTATACAGTATGCTTTAAACTCATAAAGTGAGCCGATATTAAAAAGTTAATATTGCCTTGTGAACTGCCATATCATGTTACCGTAACAACCATGACAGAATTTCAGTATTAACAAAATTCACATTACCTTTATGACACCCTGTGAAGATTATAGGTTAGAAAGTTTTGACTTTCCAAATTTCAATAACCATTGTCGTGACATCAAATTTTCCATGACTCGAGAAGAAATCGTCAAATTAAAACTCATACCATGAACACCTGGAGTCATGGTAGAACTCAAACTGTTCAGATTTCTTAAAATATGTGTAATTAGTATGCCTTCTTAGAACCTCACTAGAAATTGTTGCACAGGATCCTGCTCTGACCCCGCCCCCTTCTGATTCAGGAATATTTACATCAATGCAATTAGGTATTGAACAATGAGTATCACCCCCACCACTTGGAATTACTTTCCCTTTTTATTGATGTGTCCTTGTTGACTGCAAAAGTACTTAACTTCAAAATAAACACCATGGGCATTTTATTTTGAAGGGTCTTTCGCAATTTAACAGAGATATATATGTCATTAGGAGAAAATCCAGTTTTTTCAATCCAATAAATGCTGATGAACATTTATACATTTCTATGCCCATCTTTATATTTCCAGGCTTACGAATGGTACCAGAAGGGTGCAGATAGGGGTCACTTTAAGTCAGCCTATCAGAGATCTCTCTATAATATCAACTCATTAACAAGTCAAGCCTGGTGGGACCCTCAAAAAACCAAATATCACACTTATATTAAGGTGAGTTGTATGCATGATATGGTATCCAGTCTGTATTTATTCTCCTATCTAAAGATTTATGTGGCATGAAAAATGCTAAATGAATAAACACAAGGAGCACATGCATCTCGAACTCGCAATCTCGTGGTTATGGCGCCCAATCGCCTAGCTCGAACGTGCTGGCGCTCAAGCCCCCTCCACCAACTCGACAACCCCAATAAAGGTTGTTTTGTCAGTTGATCTGACTACATTTTGTAATTTTAAATGCTGATTTAAAGTCAAGAGGTATGAACTTTTCCTCAACAGGGGAACTCCTTGATAACTCCCATACTTGTTGATTTGGTTCCCAGTCATCTTTTTTCTCGATTTTGAATCAGTTTTTCTTCACCTTACTCACTAGTCTTATGATATAATTTTAGAATATCAGAACCCCTTCCCTATGTCTCTCTCTGACAGACTGTAGAAGGTGTCAGTGTTGTACCATGATTTGAGAACAAATAAGTAAAGAATTGTTACTTGGAATGTAATCTAGGTATAACTGCAGAAGTGATCCCTGTATCTCCATTAAAAATATTCCTCAAAATATATGCACCATTAAAAGGGTTTTGTCACCAGATCCCCTTTTTAGTTTTAAATGCTGTCCCATTTCCAAATGTATGGAGGGGAGTGTAGTTGCTAATTAGATTTGGGACTAACAATAAAAAATATAATACATAAAATATTCAGTACTTAGAAACAGTCATTGTGGATATGACACAAGTAAACAAAAATAATGCAATGGCATGCTATAGTAATATGAAAACAAACAATGCAGACTTAGATCAGCATTGTCAACATATGAATAAGAACTTTTCTTTAGGATAAATAGAAATATGGCTTCTGGTTGAACTATTGGTACTTTTCAAGCTCCAAAAATGAAAAATTGCTATCCAGCAAAAGTATGATGAACTTAAATGTACCTGATATTTATCACATAAGTATGTTTATTAGTAGTTTAATAGAGTAAATATATGTACATTTATATGGGTTTCTCTAAATATTACAATACAATGAATTAATTTTACACATTTTAGTTACTTGAACTGTGCAACTGACTTTTGTAACTACACATCTATTCTTAAGAAATAAAAAAAACTGTTCATCTGAGGAACTTCTAACCACTTTGGTGTATCATTGTTAATCATTTAGGCCTCCTTTAAAAATTTAGAAATTACAGGATCACCTCTGTACATGTGTATGGTTTGCATATGTCAGTGCATTATATTGACATCTATGTAATCTCACATTAGATATTGACATATTTATCCTTGTTTTTTGTTATAAGCCATGCATGTTTTTCCAAGGTTGTCAAGGACACAAAAATCGATACACCGCAGTGCTAACTGTCCATATAACAATTGATATTTCGCAACTTACTTATCGCATGCTAAGTGAGTTGCGAAATCTCTCTATAAATAACAACTGTGAGTGAGTGATCCTCATTTGAACATTTTTGACCCTCTGACATATTTTTAAGTTTAATTTAATTAATCTGATAAAAGTAAAGTTAAACCTTTAAAATACATTTGTAAGTGGAACACCTTTGTAAGTGGAACATCTCTACAAACGGAGCATTTTCCAAAGAACCTTTACCATCTTCTTAATGTAAACTTGACTTCTGTAAGCTGAGAACTTTCCAAATTTATGATATTAAGACGTACTGAGTGTTCCACTTAAACAGGTTTGAATGTATTTAGTAATTTAAATAAACATAGTGAGATGACTGGTTTTCTAAGTCTTAGCTCATATTTAGAAGATGTAATAGTAATATAATTTTATTTAATGATCACATCTAAATTCTACAATATAAAGAACAATCAAAATTGATTATGTAAAATTAAAATGTACATTTGCCTCGGGACAGCCATGAAAGATAAGAAAAATAGTCTTTCAATGCAATATTACGGATTTTTGCAGCATAAAGACCAATGCATTTTAATGTCTATGTAATGCTATGTTATATATCGAAATTGAGAAAATACTCTTGAATTGTTTTTCTACTGAATGCATATATATTATATATGGTACATACATGACATTATAAAACAAATAGTGATTGTCACATTTTTGAAAAATAATATAGATAATTTCTTTTGGCTACAGGCAATGGGACAATGTAGGTATCGAGTAAATTCCCCAACCGTAGTCAGTGTTTGTCAAATTGTAATTCATTGTTCACGTTACTGTATATTCATCTCATCTCAGTTTTTTAATAATTGATATATATATCACACAATATTGATTTGGCAACAATTGCTACATAACCTTTTTTACAAACATTTGCTTCACAGCTACAGCTCCACTTACAACCTGTTACCAAACCATTATATGTCTCTACAACTTTAGAGTCCAAGAAATCGCAAATTTTGAAGGATCCAGTGAAATCCTCCGAAGAACCCGTTGTTTCTTGGTACACAATTATGGTTTTATTAGATACGCAACTAGATAAACCTTGAGTGTAGAGAACGATGTTGTATTCTGAGTAATCAACACCAGAAATGTCTTCATCAAATTTCAGGCTTGTTCCAATGTTGATATTGATGCATGTGTTGAGATTGCCGTCTGTTATTTTGTCTTTCTTCATACTGATTAGACTCCCTTCACCATGCTTTATGTTGAATGTTATAGGTGTCACTGGAGAACATTGATTATATGACAACTGTTACCATAGTAAGTCTAACTTAGATTAATGCTATGCTGATCGTCATGGAATTGTTACAGAGTGAATTGTATGCCCTTTATGTTTTGAATCAATAAGATTTTTGAATAAAAAATTGAATGAAGTGGCCTACCTTGTTGACTGTATGCCATGATAGGCATCAGTCTACAACAGCTTTTGGGTCCAGTTACGGCTGCCCCCACTGGTAAATCATAGTCAAATTTCCCTAATGCTGTAAACTGACTATATGTCTTCTCATGTAAACCAGATGTACCAGAACGTCCCTTATATATTAAGGCTAAATTTTTTTCGTTTGATGTATGCGCTCCTATTACATCTCCAGGTTGAAACATGACTGTTTGTCCAAAGGGAACTACATAGGACTGGAGCCCTAAACACACAACAATATCACTGTTCCACAACTAGTTACTGCGACAGAATGTCAATGTAACAAAATGGATGAACTTCCTGGATACAAATTTTTTGTTTTCTCGATTTAAACTTACGTTCCATCAAAGTAACTTGTTGTGGAACAATGAACATATAAATATTATGAATTGTAAAAAACATTGTAAAATTGTTTATAAAGAGAGCTAGTAGATTTTTATTATTTTCTAGTATCTACATGTACAACTGTTTTTGATGTTTTGAGTATATTGTCTATCAATTTAAAATTTATTCTTCAACATGTATTGTAATGACTTCAGTATGAATGAAATGTCCCTTGGTGTTGTGGTCTCAGATTGTGATAATGGTACTTGAATGGTGGGGCAGGGGTATTAGACACTGTCTTTTCACATTGGATTATGATTTGGGATAGTAGGGATTTATTATACTTATGACTGGTATACACTAAGATGTTTTTGTTTTTTTTCTTACTGTGTACAGTGACCATATTTGGTATTTTCCCGTTGGCACTTGCGCTTATATATTTCCATCTCATTAATTTCCAAAACAGAAATGTACACTCACCTGTTCCCGGGGGAGTTATCTCATTTTTGCCAATAAGCTTGAAGCCACCATCAACCAATGGTCTCCAGATGTCTGCCCAGAACTTGTAAGTATTTTCAGCAAAATATTCCCAGACAAGAACTTCTCCATGTGCTTGAAAAGTCAGGTCTGCCAAGATGTTAAGCTTTCCCAATAATGGTGGTGTTCCATAATCTTGAACTGGGCCCCCTATTGAATGAATGGGATCGCCCCAAGGCACTGCAATTTAAACAATTTATCCGACTATAATTATTATATGTATAATGGCCAGTAATATACGGGGTGAGCACAAAACATGGGGCACCTAATATCTCCATAACCCTATTACCTCTACTTCTAAAAATTTGGACATGTGAAACTAGTGAAATTTCAGTTTTATCCTTTAAGATTTCCGATAATACACTTGAAAAATTGATCAATTGGTCCTCCATCTTCTCTGATTATGGTGCACAAATGTTTTTTTTTCAGGAATTGATTGAGTTACAAAACTTAATAAGTATATTGTTCAATTTTCAAGGTAATAGCTTGATACGGAGGTTTAATTAAAGCAAATAACCCTTTGCCACCAGAAGTTGAATTAATAAGGCATTTGGTGAAGGCATTGGTCATTGTACGGTACATAATATATTACCCTAAATAATTTTGTAAATCAGCAATTCAATTGTACTCATGGAAGAACTCAACATCACATATTTTCTTGTGATGCAACTCATTTATAAAAGTAATGTGTCAAAATTATCTAATATTCTCGATATCATTTTCATTTTTCACTTGAATGATGTTTATTAATTTTGTTGGTTATCTAGCAATAACCACTTTTATTACTTTTGTAATAAATTTTTAATTTGTCACTTTTTCTGTTAAGAGTTGCAAAAAATATTAGAAATTTCACCTTGGTAGAAGCTAGCAGCATTCTTGAAACCATCCGTGCCATCATCACCAGCTATCTTAAGTTCTTGTGCATCAGTACTGGTATAATGCATAATACGTTTGTCACTGTGCGTTGATTGAAAAACAAAAGTCCTTGGAAAATATTCATCCTTCAGCATTAACCAAGTCGAACCTCCTTCAAAACTTGAGTCACTTCCAGAACTTTGGATGTACAGCTTTCCACTGTTGCGACGCAGGAAATATCCGGGTTTAGCATTGTATTGGATAGAAACTGTATTGGGTTGAAGAGTAAGGCCTGGTGACTGAACTGTCCACAGTCCAGAATCATCATTTGTTTTCTTTTTCACGAGCCTTACTTCATTATTTTCATCAACATTCAGTAACCAGCCTGGTAGGTTTCTTGGATGAAGTTCTACTTTTGTATCTATTGCATAATTAAAAGGGTTTTGGTTAAAGATGAATATATAATATGGCTATTTACAGATAACAACTTCAAAAATAGAGACAATTACAATGCTAGTAGTTAACACTTATTTCTAAGACTGAGAGCCATTCATTTTCCAATATGGTAGCTACCTTAAACATAATATTTATCTCACTTTATGCCTCGGGTGCATAATTTCTAAAAAATGGTAAAAATTGATTTATAGGGATTTTACAGTTTTAAAATGATTTGACAAAAGAATCAAATAGAATTGAGAGCAATTTTTTGTAGAAATAAAGTATTGTCAAAAAGGAAAATGATGTCATTGTTGAGTGCCTTCTTCATTTTCCCTACCTGAACCTCTTGTGCAAGTCATTTTACATCTAAGCAATTATCCCAGTGAGAATCAGATCTATATTGGGGGGGGGGGGGGTGGTTGACAAAATTGAATGAAACATGTACAGTTCACCTACCAATATATTCTTTGCGATTTCAAATATAATATCTCCCTAAAGATATTATACCATCTAGATCTGATACTACCTACTATAAAGATCAGATATGTTATCATTATGTGTGTTATTATCCCACCGAAGTTCGAGGGGGATATAGAGAAGCCGTCCATCCGTCCTTCCGTCCGTCCGTCCATGTGTCCAGGCGATAACTCCAATGACAGATTTGGTTAAAATTTTATAGGCTTATGCCTTATGAATGTAGGACCTCTGCTCGAGAAGGAATTTTCAATATGGCCGCTCAATTCAAAATGACCGCCATTTTTCGTAAAAAATGTAATCATTGATAACTCAAATACAAGTTGAGGGATTTGGTTCAAATTTTATATGGTGATACCTAGGGACAAAGGAGTTTCGCACAAAAAGAGATTTTCAAGATGGCTGCTTAATTTCGAAATGGCGGCCATTTTTCGTAAAAATATGTAATCTTTGATAACTCAAATACCAGTGAACAGTTTTGGTTCAAATTTTATATGATGATGCTTAGGGACACAGTAGCTATGTGCGACAAAAATTTTTCAAGATGGCCACTTAATTTCAAAATGGCGGCAATTTTTTGAAAAAAACGTAATCTTTGATAACTCAAATACCAGTGAACAGATTTGGTTGAAATTTTATTTGATTATGCCTAGGGACACAGTAGCTCTGTTCAAGAAATAATTTTCAAGATGGCGGCTGAATTTCAAGATGGCGGCCAATTTTCGTAAAAAACGTAATCTTTGATAACTCATATACCAGTGAACGGATTTGGTTCAGATTTTATATGATGATGCTTCTATCACAAAGTGCACAAACATTTCAACATTTCAACTAGCTATATTAAGCATAATATGTTTTGTTCGGTGGGATTTGCTACTCCGTGGAGTTGCTGTTTTTCTAGTTACCTGTTGATTTGGCATATGTGAAGAACTCGGATATTAAGGTGGCTAACATCCACACCTGAAACACAAAAATATACAATGTATATCTTGGCTGCAAATCTTGATTGAAATTATAGGGTTAGAATTTTTTGCATGCAGTAGAGCTTTTCAAACTGAAACCTATCCAAGGTTGCACTACAAAAAGGATAACCTTTAAAGTCCCCATGTATAGTTTAGAAATATGTTTTTTTCCCATCGAACGAAGTTCGGAGGGATATAGGGAATGTCTCTGTCCGTCCGTCTGTCTGTCCGTCCGGGCAATAACTCAAATACCATTGGCCCGATTTTGTTCATATTTCGTACACTATACCCTATGGGGTAAGAAGTTCTGCTCGAAAGCAGATTATTAAAATGGCCACCCTTTTAACATTTTTATCACACCATCGGTGGGATATAGTCGTCATGCTGGTCGTGATTGTGGTCGTGATCGTGGTCGTGATCGTGATCGTCCCGCTTTTTGTCATCGCCGTTTAAGGAAAACTGCTCATCAGATTTTCTCCAAATTCGCAGAGATGATAGAGCATATGAAGTACTAGAGCTGATTAACTTTTGGGTGGCCATCTTGTTTCCTGGCGGCCATTTTGAAGGTTTTTCGAAAAATCTTGTCATCGCCATTTCAGGAAAACCGCTCATTGGATTTCCTTCAAATTTACACAAATGATAGAGGATATCAAGTACTAGAGCTGATTAACTTTTGGGCGGCCATCTTGTTTTCTGGCAGCCATTTTGAAGATTTTTCGAAAAATCTTGTCATCGCCATTTCAGAAAATCCGCTCATCGGATTTCCTTCAAATTTACACACATGATAGAGGATATCAAGTTCTAGAGCTGATTAACTTTTGGGCGGCCATCTTGTTTTCTGGTGGCCATTTTGAAGGTTTTTCGAAAAATCTTGTCATCGCCATTTCAGGAAAACCGCTCATCGGATTTCCTTCAAATTTACACAAATGATAGAGGATATCAAGTACTAGAGCTGATTAACTTTTGGGCGGCCATCTTGTTTTCTGGTGGCCATTTTGAAGGTTTTTTGAAAAATCTTGTCATCGCCGTTTCAGGAAAACCGCTCATCGGATTTCCTTCAAATTTACACACATGATAGAGGATATCAAGTACTAGAGCTGATCAACTTTTGGGCGGCCATCTTGTTTTCTGGCAGCCATTTTGAAGATTTTTCGAAAAATCTTGTCATCGCCATTTCAGAAAATCCGCTCATCGGATTTCCTTCAAATTTACACACATGATAGAGGATATCAAGTTCTAGAGCTGATTAACTTTTGGGCGGCCATCTTGTTTTCTGGTGGCCATTTTGAAGGTTTTTCGAAAAATCTTGTCATCGCCATTTCAGGAAAACCGCTCATCGGATTTCCTTCAAATTTACACAAATGATAGAGGATATCAAGTACTAGAGCTGATTAACTTTTGGGCGGCCATCTTGTTTTCTGGTGGCCATTTTGAAGGTTTTTTGAAAAATCTTGTCATCGCCGTTTCAGGAAAACCGCTCATCGGATTTCCTTCAAATTTACACACATGATAGAGGATATCAAGTACTAGAGCTGATTAACTTTGTGGCAGCCATCTTGTTTTCTGGTGGCCATTTGAAGTTTTTTCGAAAAAATCTTGTCCTCGCCAATTTAGGAAAACCGCTCATCGGATTTCCTTCAAATTCGCACAGATGATAGAGGATATCAAGTACTAAAGCTGATTATCTTTTGGGTGGCCATCTTGTTTTCTGGTGGCCATTTTTAAGGTTTTTCGAAAAATCTTGTCATTTCCATTTCAGGAAAACTGCTCATCGGATTTCTTGTACATGATAGGGGATATCAAGTTCTAGAACATATTAAATTTTGGGTGGCCATTTTGTTTTCTTGTGGCCATTTTGAAGGTTTTTCGATAAATCTTCTCATCGCCATTTCAAGAAAACCCCTCATCAGATTTGCTCCAAATTCCCACACATGATAGAGGATATCAAGAACTAGAGCTGATTAACTTTTGGGTGGCCATCTTGTTTTCTGGTGGCCATTTTGAAGTTTTTTTTGATAAATCTTGTCATCACCATTTTATAAAAAAACGCTTATTGGATTTCCTTCAAATTCGCACACATGATAGGGGATATCAAGTTCTACACCTATTTGATGGTGTGATCTCGTTCACGTCCTGTGCCTTGTTTTACTATAACTCGAAAAGTAGCGGAGCGATTTTGTTCATATTTGGTATGTGAATACTGTAAGCATGGCACACTGTCTAATGACACTTTTGGTAGAAGGTGGCCATTTTGAAAAATGGCTGCCATTTTTGCTATATACTTTGTTTGTAAAAATGCTAGTCATGGCTATTCGATGGGATTTGCTACGCTTTGGCGTTGCTGTTGTCTAGTTATGATTTTAAAAGTTATTTTAGGGATTTTTTGAAAAAAAGTTGTCAGCTTTTGATTTCTCAAATATTCAAATTTTCTACCATTTTTCAAATAAGAGTTTAAATTTTTTAATCATCAATAATTCCACTATACAGTGCAAAAAGCATTATCTTTTTAACACCAATGCAAAGCTTGAACAAAGGACACACTATTTCAATGATAAGATGGCATATCCAATGTACCACTTCAATGTTCTAGCATATCAAAAATATTTTGCAACCTAAGTAACCTCATCGTGACATCACTCAAGAGTTTCTATAATTTAGATAAAATTTGGATAGAGTGGCATTGAAAGTCTAATTTGGAAGATATCAAATGTTAATGACCAAGATTTGGCTGAAAACAATGGATAACATGAGTTTCCACTATGGTTGAATAACACGGGATGTGTATTTTTCAACTTCATTGCAACTTTCTCCTTTTCAGAAGTTACCTACATTGTGCTGACAGGAAGAGACTTTTTTTTGTTATATGTTAAAATGAGAAAAGAAGGTCCTCTTATCAGTCTGACACGTTGAAAATTTTTCAAGATGGGGTCTTAAACAATTGTTATCACAGAGATTGCTTGATATTTTTAATATCCTAATAACATTGCTTCAAAAAAATTCTGAGTAGACTTTTTTGATCAAGGTTTGATAAAAGTTAAAAATTCATTTATAGAACATGGCACCAAATTAAGCTATAGACAGCCCTATTTGACTTGAACATGTCCATGCTGAAATGGTTTGGAATCATATTTGTACCTCAAAATCATTAAACTCTATTATCAGACATTGTTGCACAACCAACATCAAAAGGGAAACTTAATGTGAAATAGGAATTGAAAGAAGACAGATGAAAATAACCATTTTAACATATTCTTAATACAATACAGGTCTTTCCAACTTAAACTCATAATTTACATTTTATATGGAAACAATGTTCTATTTGAATGTAATATAATACTATCTCCAATGTGCAAGCTCTGTCACACTTGAGACGATTTGCCATTTATTTTCCTTTATTGATATAAAAATCAATTTTAGAAGTGTAATAGAAAATATTATGAAATACTTAAATAAAGGTTAAAAATGGAGCAATTATGATTTAAGTTATTAGTAAACTAGTTTGTGTTTACTCAAAAATTAAAATAGGAGCCAACGAACAATGCACAAAAGGTGAAATCCATTTAAAAAACTGTGAAAATGATAAAAACAAAATCAATAGAACTGATGAGGAAGGATATGTTTGCAGTGAGTGAATATGCAATAATGTGCAGATTGTAACAAAAGTCACTGAATGAATTTACATTGTATAGAGAAAAATAGCTAATACCAAGTTATATGAAAATACATGTACACATGCTAGATTTTGATAACAAAATTTTAAAATAAGATACAAGGAAAATTATACTTACTAATTTAAGTTGCTTCATCTTCCGTCTTGCATGCCTGAGCATGAAGAAATGTTTATGGAATGAGGAACTTAGTTGCTAGATATAAACGCATTACTTTTACACATCATTACCAAAACAATTCATTAAAACCAGACAACTGTCACTAAGGTATATACACAGTTCTCAATTGCTGAAATAAACATTACAAATTATTTAGGAATGAACAATGGAGTTACGCCCAAAGTATTGACATTTTTATATAAATATGTAATGTAGCTCTTTGATGAAAGAGACATATGTACAAAAATAGATCAACAAAAAGTGTCAATTATGTATTCTTATTGTCATGACATGCTACTCCTCTCCCTCCATGTAAATATCAATAATCGTCTCAAAATGAATATGTATTTTGTAACTATTATATATGTTGAATAAATACTTTTTAAAAAAACAATCTTCAATGTTATATCACCTTGGAAACCTAATATTTAAAAATTCATTGATGATGTAAAGGAGTATTGCCTCCTCAACATCACAAAAAATGAAAAGTTCCTTCCTTTTTTATCAATGAACATTGTGTGCCACCTTTTGTTCTGCAACAATTTTCCTTTCTTATTGTTGCTTTTTTGGCATTTTTTTGTCATACAACTATCTTTATGTCCATGATTTTGCCAAAAAACACTAATCCAAAATGTTCATGCGATGCACCTCATCATGCCACATTGAACTTTCAAATTGAATGTCCATTGCTTGTCAATAATCATGATTTGGTCTTACAGAACTAAATTATTTTCACAATTCCACAACTTGAAAACAGAATAAGTGGATTTGAGAATATAAGGGCAGCACTAATTTACAACCTTAATAGAAATTATATTATTATGAGCATGAAAAATATAACAACAATACAATATTATTTTTTTTCGCTGAGCTAGTTATCTATTAACAGATTAAACCTTGTACAAGTAGCTTTTTTATCTTGTATGGGTTGGTTATTCAGTTTTTAGGTCATTTGTTTTCATCAATAAAAATGAGTCACAGCATCTTATTTTTTATTTGACTTCAAATACATGTAACCTGAGGTCTGATGTTTTGTTAGTATTTTTTCTTTTTTTTCATTTATATTCTTTAATGAATTCTTATTTTCTATAGGGAAGGACCATATATTGTTACGGAACACCTCAAGAAAATGAAAACATCTATGAAATAGCTAGTTGCTGTTTCTTTTTGCATCTGTGGCATTAGTTCAGGCATTGTTAGCAATGGCTGTCATGATTCCTTATAGAACATGAGGTGTCACATATAAGCTATGGCTTCCATGGCAATTCTCTTCTGAATTAGATATGGTTGCAGTGTTCCCACAGTATTTTTTCTCAAGTGGGTTGAACATTCCCATCTTCAAAATTCAGACCTATGCCAATTTTACATGATTTTTTTTTCAAGTGGGTGCAAATAGATTTTCAAGTTGGTGCAAGCCTGTTTTCAAAATCTCAGGTGGGTGCTGTGCCCACTTGATTTAATGCAGGGGAGATCACTGGGTTGAGTCAGTTAATTTTATTTGTTAAATTATAAAGGTTAAAGTTGCTTTTTAATTTTTAATTTTGTTTATTTGTGACCACTGGGTATTGTTATTTACCTTCATAAATACTCAGTGAAAAATAACGAAATCCAAAATGGATTGATCATTAATATTTTATCACTATGTTCGTTGAAACCACTTGTGAAATGCAATGATAAGATATGTTATACTGCTAGTATGATATCTCTGTAAAAACAACTCTAGTATGTTGTAATGTAAAAAGTTAATGTTTGAGTGACCTGATGATAAGAAGTATCAGCTCTTAAAGGCTTCATGAAGAAATTGATCTATCGGCATATAATTGAAATTAGTTTGTATATAGCATTTTAGAAATATTCTAGAATTAAACCAGTTTAACCATTTGTTTTGTATTAAGATATTTCTACAATCTATTTGTCAACATATAATTTAATTGTCATTATTAATTTTTTTAGAAACTGTGAATTAGGATAATGAAATCAATATTTATTAGTATGGATAAGTGGGTGGAGCTAAAAATTAAGCTTTAAAATCTAATCAAAATTCAAACTTTGGACTGCATTAATTTATGCACAGCGCTTACTAATTTAGGACAAAAATAAGTCGTTACTGAATAAAGCAATTATCACTATAGAGGAATATAAAATATAATCAAAAACATATATTTTTGGAATGAGCTGAAAAACACCATCTTATAAAACAGTCATAGGATGAAGGGAGAAATTGTATTTGGAGTTCTTTGGGTGTTGATTTCAATTGCCATTGTGAATGGTCAGAACCCTCAGATTACTCAGGAGATTTTACCGGAAGTCAAACGTCTTGGACAAACTGCCTATTTGAACTGTACAGTCACTAGGCAACAGTTAAATAAAGTATACTGGTCCCATCTTAACACGCAGACAACCATCTCTAGTGATGATCAGATCATAGTCGACCATAACGAGATTGTTGATGGATACAGGAAATATCGATGTATAAAAGTAGTCCATCCTGATCAGCGTACAACAGTGTATATGTTAATCATTACTAGGCTTCAGCAGAGGGATATGGGCATTTACCGCTGCCGTATATTTGTTAGAGGAGCTGAGAGACATCCAACAAAGGATGGGGAGCTACAGGTAGGCTGGGAACTTCATTATTCTTTGTTAAACCTTGGTGTTTCATGTTTTAGGGCTATTCACAAAGGCTTCAAAAATACCATTCAAGATAATACATATTGTAAGACAAAATGTAATATTATGCACAGTTTTAACTTCATTTGTTGTATATATAAAATGTACATACAAACAGTATTTATTTATTTTATATTCATTGGCTTGATTTTTACCATTGCAGGTGTTGGTACCACCAGTTCTTGTGTACTCTCAGACTTCAACAACAGCGACAGTAATGGAGGGTGGAGCACTTAACCTAACATGTAACGCCACAGGCTTCCCTTACCCTAATATCACTTGGGTGAGAGGGAATGGTGCGTCCCTCTCCATTGGGAAATTTTCATTTAGAGGCACTTTGTTAGCGCTGCACAACATCCAGAAGAGAGACAGAGGGGTTTATCGTTGCGTTTGTGACAACAATGTGCAGCCTCCAGCTACCCATGATGCAACATTGCTTGTGTTTTTCCGCCCAGAAGCCAGGGAAGTGCAAGATTCTTATGGCCAGGCTCAGAATCGGCAATTTGATCTGACGATTGAATGTCGAATCTCTGGCTACCCAGATCCCAACTTGGCATGGTACTACATTGAAGGGGACACAAAAAGAGAGATCACCAATGATGATAAGCACGACATTCAGATTATGACAAGCCACGGTTCAGGTTTAGACATCAATGAGCTATGGTACACGTTGACTATCATAAACATTCAGGCAAATGATTATGGACGTTATGAGTGTGAAGGGCGTAATGTGTTAGGTACTGACAGTGCCTTCATTCAGATCTATGAAACATCGGAATGCCAGGGAGCAAACTGTCCTTCAGAAGGTGCATCCAACCTTGGAGGGGGTGCTGCTCAAAACAACATTGCCATAGCAACAATTGTTGTGGGTTATTTAGCCACAAGACTTAATTGATCACTTCAATGTTCATAATATACATATAACATAATTAGAATAATCTGCATAAAATGCCTTATAGACATTAACCAAGGACAGTTTTTGATGTCATTTCCGCATGATGTGTGCATCTATCATTTATATATTGTAGTTTCTCAGCTTAAGCATATTGTATACCATTTTCTTGTACATAGATTTATGCTAAATATATAACTTCCATCAGAATTCCATTTATATTTTTATATTTTACTGTCATCTTCAAGGACATTTTTTAAGATTTTCTGACAAAACATTGTACTTTCCTAAACAATAAAATGTGATTGAACAACTTATGCTCATATATGTATCATAAGACAAAGCTAGTTTTAGTATGAGTATGAGTAACAGTTTTTTTGCTGGACAGATTTGATTTCCCTTTCAATAAGAAAGTGTCCATTGTCCATGGTAATTTCTTCTTTGGTATTTATGCTTACATGCTTTTAGGTATTTAACATTTATTATTGGCTCTACTTAACTTGTTTTTGGGAGTAACATGCCATGGTGATGTATAGCAAAAATGACTTGAATTTACATGTAGTTTCCAAACACCTCTCAAATAGTTTCCAAACACCTCTCCAATCCGAATACCTCTCAATGTGAACACTATTTTTTGTCACAATTTTGTTATCTCCCATTGACTCGCATATTATAAGAAACCTTGAAATGTGAACATCTAGTAGTCCAAGGACTTTTTGCCAGTCCCTTTGGCATTCAGATTAGACGGCTTTTTTACTTATTTTATATTTGCCTTGATTTTCGGTTACTATGGCAATCATTACTAATATTTCTGTTATACCAAATATTTTTTGATAGATTAATGCAGTATTCTATACTGCAGATTCTATGAAAATTTCATTAGAATATATTAAAAAATAAAAAAGAGAGATATTATGAGAACTTTATGATAATTTACCCTCATATACTAGATAGTTATCAAGTGAATGATTATGATACCAGTTAATACAGGGTTTTCGAAATTTCATTGAATTCTCGTTTTTTGATGAGATTTTAGGAGATTTGCATTTTATTCATTAAATACCAACATTTTCTTCTTCTTGATGGCATATTTGAATTCTCTGTGTAATTTTCTATCAAAACACTTTGTTTTGCACAGTTTCCTTCAAGGTTTAAAGATCCTCATCAAGTTTTCTCAAAACGGTTGGGTGAAATCACCATTGACACAATGTTAAAATCATATACTTTGAATTTAATGATGTTTTATGTTAATCCAAATGAAACACATGATAAATCAAGGAATTAAGTAACGCTTGCTATAGATTTCCATGTATTCTTGCTCTACACATGCTGCCATCTATTTTAATAATATTAAATGTTTTGTTATTTAGATGCTAGAGTCCAACTGGAAAACCATTAAAGATGAAGGTCTGGCTAACATGGATGAAAAGAAAGGAAGTTTTTTACCTGAGGAAGAGAATCTCTTAGATACTGGAGATTGGAAACAGTTCACACTCTTCCAACAAGGTACATTAAGTTTGGACTCATCAAGTTTGGACTGACAAAACTCAAATTAATTTATGAATATAAACTGGTGATTTTGTGGATTCTCTTATTGTTAGACATAGACTTCTATGGAATAACTTAATAGCACAGTGATCAGTTTTGTTTTATTTTAGTACACATACATTTGCATTACTGATTTTATCCCTTTTCACTCTTTTCCTATTTTAAAATATCAATTTTATGAAAACTATATAAATTGTGTTACTGATGTCATACAGCTGTTTAAGTTAATATGACTGATGTCATATAGCTGTATAAGTTAGTGTGACTGATGTCATTCTGCTTGCAGGCAGGAAGAATGAGAAGAATTGTAAAAGAGCTCCAAAGACTTGTGCACTCATAGATAAAGTTGCAGATGCCAAAGGTTGTAAACGTGGTCAGGTAGGTAGCACAGTGACATATTTTATGGTATATCTATCATTCAGTTATCAATTATTTTAAAACACTCTAACATTTCCAGGGGCGTAGCCAGCGATCACAACCCCCCCCTGGCTACACCCCTGATTTCTATAATATAAAGTTTGAGGTTGATAGGGAATTCAGAGCAAGAGTGAGGACCAGCTTGTAAAGGTTTTCAATATATTGCAGATTTAGTTAGCTTGGTTTGCTCAGTGTGTGATGATACTATTTTTTCTCCATTTTAAAACTTGAATAAAAACTCATTTAAGAAAAGGACATTGAAAGTCTTGCTTTTACAAAATCCCTGCAGAAGACAAAAAGCGCTTGTATGATAACACACTTTAGGTAATGAAATATTTCAAAATGTATTGAAGGTTTGTATGAGAAAAGAATGATTAATACAGAGATTTCTCAGTCACTTTACATACCACTCAAGCCCAGGGTCCTTTAGATTTATGGTACCAAATTAAACTAGATAGGCAACAGTAAAATAGATTTTTATGAACTGAAGGGAATCAAAGGCTTTGTAAAGGAGTTTGAAATTGGAGCCATCAAGTTGCAAAAGTTTGATTGGTTATAGAATGGTGATGGCACCATATTAAAAAAAAGTAAAATGTATGACATACAATAAATAGTGTATGTGTGTTTCTTACAGGTGAAGTTCTCCATTATGTCCCCTGGTGTCCATGTATGGCCCCACTGTGGCCCTACTAACTGTAGAATTAGGGCCCATCTTGGTCTAGTTATTCCACCAGGACCTAAAATCAGAGTCGCTGATGATACAAGGTTAGTGAAAAAATATAGTATTAACCATCTTAGCTTAAATTAAACTTTGCAGATTTTGATTTCAAGTACAGGAATGAGATCCAAGAGTAAATTGAGTAAATTTTAATCCAATTTATATTGATGGTATTCTTTTGGAGATCTAGTATGTAAGAACCCCTGTAAGAACCTGAAATCATTAAAAGATTTGATTTTTCAAACTTGTATTTTCAGGGAATGGATTGAGGGGAAATTTATTATGTTTGATGATTCATTTGAACATGAAGTTTGGCATGAAGGGTCTTCATACAGACTTGTATTAATAGTAGACTTCTGGCATCCTGAACTCACTGAAGATCAGAAATATGAGATCACACCAATCTAAGCAGACGATATGCTCACACCCTTTTTGTTTATCATAGACTAGTCCATTTAGTCATTAAAAACTGGTTGATATCACATAAAGAGGGGTTCATCAATGTTTTTACTCTTTGAAAAGGTGTGCCATTTTAGTACAAGTATGCCATAGGATGGATTGTCTGAATTCAAAACGCCATCCACACCTGTCATAAATGGAAGGATTTAATCTGAGTTTTCTTTGTATCTACTGTATTTAAAATGCCTCTAATCCACTTTGAGACATTCACCATGCATCTGATCTCTTGTTATGTCACCACCAAAAAGTGGTGACATATTGTTATGGTCTCAGTTCTTTGACCAATTTTCTTTTTTAAAATCATCTTCAAGTTCTCAAATGTTCGAATCTGGCTATAAATTTGACCTTAAATGACATTCTCAAGGTCAAAAAAGATTTGACCTTCAGTGACCTTCTCAAGGTCAAAAGGGTCTTTTTTCATCTTGCTTCAAATTGACCAATTTTTTTAAAAATCATGTACAAGTTCTTGGAAGTTCAAATCTGACTTAAAATTTGAGATTTCACCTTCAATGACCTTCTCAGGGAAAGGGTCTTTTTTCAACTTGTTCCAGATTGACCAATTAATTTTTTCAAAATCATCTACAAGTTCTCAGAAATTCATATCTTACTTAAGATTGAACTCATAGTATTGTGAGCAACTGGGTGGTGACATTTTGTCATGTTAATTTATCTTGGAAACATAAAATCTCATCTCATACAGCTCTATTTGTATTCTTTATAAATTTCAAAATATTTTTGTATTTTATATCAATTAGACATACAATATACACCAATAGCGAACACATTTCAAATAAAAGTGAAACATCGAAAACGTTCATGCTTTGTACAAGCACTGATCATCATATCGTAAAATCTCTATGCAACAAAGGAATTCCATTTTATATAGCTGTGCATGCTTAAAGTTTCACAATTATACGAAAGTTACATAATACATTAATCAAAAATCTATATTATATAACCTAATGTGAAATATTTTTGGATTATATTGAATGTATTTATTTTATTATAAAATGATATTGAGCATAATACTACAAAATACAGGTATACCATACATTGCTATATGATGCATCTCCGAGACTGCATTCTAATTAACATAACTAGAAAAAATTCACGAAGTGTATAGAAACAATTTTCATTTAGAAATGTTAATGGTGTTTAAATGGTATTATAACAAAATATGACCCACAGCCATTATATGGTGGCCATTATTTTGTTATTCATAATAGTATCTGGGAGATGCCTATGTAGTCTAATATAACGGGTCAGTTGCCAATAACCCCATTGATCTGTGTAAGTTTCGTTACTCCTTACATTAGTGTATTATATTGAAAAATGAGTATGCATGATATTACACAAAATCCATAAAAGTCCACAATTATTTTGAGCGTTTTGTTAATTTGTAGCGATCTAGTAAGATCGTTTTATATATTTTGAGTCTTGTGTCCAACAATACAGTATTATTTTGTGTATGATCATCGAAACAATTTTTAGATAGAATGTAATTTTATTTAACAAAAACATCATCAGATGTTTACTTCATCAGTGTTTACTCTGTTTCTCGTTTGATTTTATGATATGTAGGCCATCAGCTTTGGTTTAAAATTTCAGCCACATGTATCAAATGAGGGGAACAAGTCTATATGAATGGTAATTTTTACAAGGTATGCTCCCCTAGAGGAAATATGGATGGAGCTTTTTGGATGTTATAACCAGTTATAACCCTTTTTCAAAATGGCCACCAAAATGCTTTTCACCACATATAATATGTAGTCATATCTAAGCATAAGGAGATGTAACAGTGTTTTGATATCTATGGCTGAGTTTTACCTTTAAGGTTCAACCTGTTCCTCCATGCTGATGGCCTATTACTGATGTATTGTTCTGCTTTGATGTTTAGTTAAGTTTTATTACGCAATCAAAGACCATTTAAAAAAGAGAATTGTTTGTGTAAGTTATTATATTGGAAAACAGCCATCTGAGAAAATTATTTTGTAATATTGTTAGATATTTTAGTCATTGATATTATTTTGAAGAATCCTGTTTTCTTAGAGCCATTTTTACGGGAAAGGGTATTGATTTTGAATTGCTGTTATTCACGTAGGGTGGATAAGTTATAAACGGGTTGTTCCAAAATGTCCCATTGCACCCCCTGGCTACGCCTATGAAACAGTATTTAGAGACACATTGTATTCATGACACTGATAAGTGTTAAGCAGTAACATTCATGATAATCCTGTCCATGAATTAGTATGTATTAAGTGTTATATTTATCAATTAAAAATATTAAATGTTCTTTAATACAGTATGGGAATTGGTACTTTTTTGAAATTGATGAAAATGTTCAAACTACACGTGCACTCTTCAAAGAAATTTGGCAATCTCATGATATGTTTGAATTGTTCTCATTACTAAGGCTGTAAATGGTATTGCCAAACTTTTTTGGAGGGGAGGAGTGTAAGAAAGTATATGTCTGCTTTTTCACATATATTTTCTTTTTAACTACATTTCACATATGAAAAATGTGTCATCATGGTATAAGTTTTGGATTGACAATTTATTCATACCCTGAGCATATACTTATCATAATTAGGTTTATTTTAAAGTCACAATGACAGTAAGTCTGAATAACAATATACACACATATAAGATTTCACAGAACTAGAACTGTAGATCACACTGGCTTGCACAGTAGAAAGCTAGGGGTCAGATGGTTAACCAAAATCGCAGAGCTCCAACCATCATTGGCCCTGGTGGTTCTTTCAGTTCAGAAAAAATGTCAGGTTTTTTAACTGAATGTTAATTGAGGGAAAATTACTGTAAACACATGTTCGCTAAAATAAGGTAGATCAAGAAAATGTCTGCCATGGATATTGAGAAAGATATGCGCGTCCAAGTACCAGATTCAGGTGACACTTTATTATTTTGAAAGTTAAGTGTTTAGTATTACATTTGTGAAATATCAAGAGATAGCCAGTTTTGTTTTACATTCTCATGGTTATAGCAGAATATCATAGTTCGAAAAGAACAGAATAACCGAATCGAGAGATTCAAAATCCGAACCAGAACGAATCAAAAAATTTTAAAACCATCTGACCCCCATAGACAGCACTTGACACACCTGTATATCTACGCAACATGTAATCTGAACATTGAATGATAAAGTAATGATGTACTGTTTAAGAAACATGTGAGAATTCCAATTTTTATATGATATGATATTACACGTATATGGCATATTTATGTATTTTCATTAAGAGTAACATCAGTGTTATCCATGAGCGAAAGTACCTTGACTGTCAAGGTGTTTTATAAAATTTGTATTAAATTATAAGATATTTAAAAATATTATTCACTTATTGTCAAACTAGAGATCTGATTGGCTCATGTGATGTAAATATATTACAATGTATTTTTATGCCATAGGATACAGAATTTGTATTCAACCCTGACACCATTGTATTATTTGCTTCGGTGTCTTAAAGTCACCATATTAAACACATTTATTATTTACCATAATTAGTGCCTTGTTTTCTTAGGCACAATGTTTTCTGTGGTTTTATTCAAATCATTGAACAAACAACTGGTATTATTCCATAATTATTGAATGGAATAATAGAATTCAGGCCCGTAGCCAGGATTTGCCAAGGGGGGGTTCAGTTTTAAAAAATTTCCAGGGGGGGTTCACATTTGACAATTTTGGCCCAAATATGACTAAAATCACTTGAAAAGTGCTCAAAATGGTGAAAAACTGCATGATTTTGAAAGAATTTTTGGCCAGGGGGGGGGGTTCGCCCGAACCCTGCGAACCCCCCCTGGCTACGGGCCTGGAATTGATATTATATTTCAAAAATCAACAAAATGAAATCATGCCCATATGCCTGGTATATGTATGTATTACTTTATCGCTGCAATCGTAGAAATGTAGAAACTTGGGACATCAAAATGACAAATATATATATAAAAAAGTAGAAAACCACACAAATACTTGCTTATGTGCAATCATCATATTGTCTGTTTCACTCATTGAAACTAACAATCAATGTACAATATATCAGCTACATTTAGAGGAACTAAAAGGGATAGAGATTGTAAAATGTTGGAAGCAATCTTCAGGGATCAGGTCATTGTTGTCCTTACTGATCAAGTATATAATAGATGTTATTGAAGAATTAAGAAATGTCCATCAATTCATCAGAACCGTTTGTCCAAATAACCTTATTTAAATCTAAGGATTATTCTGAAATAAAATCAGAACTGTTGTACCTTTAGGAAAATTGCAATGACAGAGAATGATTGAGACAATTTTTAGTGTCTAACTTTTTTTGTGGAATGTGGTTGTGGTCGATGTCTGTAACAGGTGTCTGTAACAAATGGCAGGTAGTGACATTTTGCATGTTAATGCCTTGTTTGAAAGTTACTTTCAACATGCCTCTATCCCTTCTAGTCCCTTTAAGTCATTGTAATTTAGGGTCCAATTGAATCATATTTTGTATTTGTAATCAACGAAATATGCCTTCAGGATTTTTTAAAATCAAATAACAAATGCAATCTATTAAAATTGTACTGTAATTTTCACTGTCTAGTTTGATATTATAAATTGCAATATGCTCATTAGTTTCCAATTAAATAAATTATTTGTACCAGAGCAGATATAGCATGTAACATCCAAGACGTTTATCAAAATGGTAAGTAGATGTTTAAAGTATGTATTTACAGTTAATTAATAAAATGTTGTGAATGTTAAGTTTACTTTTCTTTAGTCATGAAAGAAGATGGATATTGTAAGTAAATATTCCAACATTTCCAACCTATACTGAGTTCCATATATCCATGATCATGCCATTCCTATTTTTAACATGCTGTTAATTCTGATGCTTTTTGTTTTCAGTTGAATTTGAAATACTTCAAGGGAATACTTTTGGCTCTCTTGCTATTGGCCATTGGATTTATAATCATCAAACAAGATATGCCAGATCTCTGGAAAATCCAAGATAAAGTCATAAAAACTCCAGAAATCCCAACTTTGTTGAGAAATCTTCTTCACAAACAACCGACCGAACAACCAGCCAAAGATGCAGCAGTTATTGAAGGAAAGTTGAAAGACACAACTAGCCAAATTGGTCATAAAATTCAGGATTTGGAAATTAATCGGATGAAAATGGCAGTAAGTTTGGCAGCTATGAGAACTTCCACTAAAAGTATTTCTGAAACTAGTAAGGTTACACCAAAAAATCCCATCTCTGGTGATATACATAATAGCATTGCAAAAATAGACATGAAAAATGCTATAATTGGTAAAGAAGATACAAGAATGTTTGAAAGAACAGAAAAGGGGAAAAAAGAAGAAACTAAAAGAACTGATTTAGAAAAAGAGGATAACCAGGGTATAGATGGTGGAAAACAAGATATCAAAAAGACTGACATGGAAAATGAAGGATTGAAACATATTGAAAAGGAACAACATCATATAGGAAAACAAGAGTCCAAAAATGATGGTATGAAAAATGGAGAATTTAAAGATATTGACAAAGAACAAGTTATCCAAAATAATTATGTTGGAAAACATGAGACCAAAAGTACTGGTATGAAAAATGAAGAATTCAGACGCAATGGTAAAGGACAAGTTATCCAAGATAATGATACAGGAAAACAAGAGATAAAAAGTACTAGTATAGAAAATGAATTGAAACACAATGGTAAAGGACAAGTTGTCCAAAATAATGATCTAGGAAAACAGGAGACCAAAAGTACTGGTGTGAAAAATGAAGAATTCAAACACAATGGTAAAGGACAAGTTATCCAAGATAATGATACAGGAAAACAAGAGACAAAAAGTACAAGTATAGGAAATGAAGAATTGAACGGCAATGGTAAAGGAGAAGTTGTCCAAAATAATGATAAAGGAAAACAAGAGACAAAAAGTACTAGTATAGAACATGAAGAATTGAAACGCAATGGTAAAGGACAAGTTGTCCAGAATAATGATACAGGAAAACAAGAGACAAAAAGTACAAGTATAGAAAATGAAAAATTGAACGGCAATGGTAAAGGAGAAGTTGTCCAAAATAATGATAAAGGAAAACAAGAGACAAAAAGTACTAGTATAGGAAATAAAGAATTGAAACGCAATGGTAAAGGACAAGTTGTCCAAAATAATGATACAGGAAAACAGGGAACTAAAAGTACTGATGGAGAAAAAGAGAAAATGAAAAGTACAACCACACTAAAAGAAAACATTGGGAATAATGGCACAGTAACAGTTATGAATGAGAAAAAAGTGAAGGTTATACATGGAACCCCTAAGGCAACAACCATGCCTACGACTACAACTCTACCCCCTCCCACCACAACCACCATCCAGCCTCCATACAGGGTTGAATCTCTGAAAGAGCTCAAACGACCAAACACAATACGCTACAACTATAATGGACATTGGCAAATGCAAACAGATTATTTTGAAATATACCTATATAGGGCATATTATGACGATAGAATGACCCTAAAAACGAACCCTGCTGTAAGAGTGATTGGAATGTCTGAATGTGCTGAAAATCGAACCCTGCATTGTTTGTTTTGGTTCAAAGGACAAGATCACCCTGAAATGGTAAATGTCACTTTAGGTAGGATTGGTAATGGTGTACCACGACATGGATTATTATTCCGAGAGTATATATTTTCTTGTCCTCTACCCAATCGTCCTGATAGAAAATTCCAACCACCGGAGCATGTCTCATTGATAACTACAGACTATATGCTCCCTACAAACTTGATACCTGTTCTCATCCCTGAAAAACCTGCAAAGAAGTTAGAATTTGGAATGTGTGTCTCAATCACATACTGGAAGCAGGATCCATATAGATTAGTAGAATGGTTGGAGCTGCTGAAGCTTTGGGGAGTGGAGGAGGTAACGGTGTACAATCAAAGCCTGGCCGTGGAGAGTGATGCTGTCTTCAGATATTATCAACAGAAAGGTTTTGTGGATTACAGAAGCGGAGAAAAACCAATGGATGATGGAGGTAATCTTAATGATTTCAGAAATTAAATTGTGAATCTGTGAATTTTTATTTTGGAAAAATGATGGATTTGAGACACACAGACCATGTGCATAGCATATGATTGTGAATAATGTATTACTCATATAACTATGGTTCGAAGTGATTTTCTTATTTGAATTGGAGGCCACTATGTTCACATATATTTGATATTTTGACGACCTGATTTTATCAGTAATAAAAAATATTTTGACCAAGATCTAATAAATGTACATAGCCCTTTATTGCATTTTTTAGATTAAAACTAAATACAAAATAATTTTCTTTGCAGGAGAGTACACTTTCTTCCTTATGATGACACCTGTTATTAATGACTGCATGTACCGCAACATCCACCGCTATAAGAAATTGGTCATCAGTGACTTTGATGAACTCATTGTCCCGAGAGGCCCATCTATGAACAATTACGCTGATATGCTGCGACAAATAGACACTGAACAACCCCGATTGTGCAAATATAAATCTTACTGGTTCCGTAATGTTTATTTCTTCTACAATTTTCCACCCATCTCAAAAACACCACGATATTTAACAACATCTAGGTATCTTACGAGAATACGACATAGCACTTACGGGAACTCCATCAAAAGTATCAATGATCCAATGACGTGTATTAGAGTTCACAATCACTTTTGCTGGGAAGCCATCGAAGGCTACGATAAGCAAGAGTGGTACGTGGATGTCAAGACGCATCTAGGCATGAACCAACATTATAAAAAATGTCACCTTGATGGTCTCCATGGTGATGATTCTAAGGGAGAATGTGAGAAAGCCATGAAGACTTCATATTATGATGACACAATGCTTAGATTTAAAGACAAAATAGAACCACATGTAAGAAAAGCATGTAAAGAGTTGAAGTTACCTTTGTAACAGTACAAAATATAATTATGTATGTGATTTTGTTATTTATGTGTTTTTTTGTAAATTCTATGTTTATAGTATCAATTGAGAATGGATAGAATTATATTCTGTATTAAAGTTCTCCTTCTACGTCAAGCTGAGAGTATACTCAGTGATTTCAAATAGCTGAAAGTAATGGATTTGTAAAACATAATGATAAACATCATTCACCAGGTTCTAATAGATTGCAGTAGAATCAATTGACAGAACTTTTATTACTGAATTTTCCTTGCCTTTGAAGCAGGTAAATGTATTAATTAAAGCATGTACTGCAAAATCATGTTACAAATGCTTTGTGAGACAAATATTCAGCAAAAGAGCCCCCCCCCCCATAGAGAGCAGCTCCACTGTAAAAGAAACTTGGGTGAAAAATTATCTCTAAAACACAAATCAACAGTTTTTGAGTGATAATTAACGGGTAGATAACTTGGCTTATCAAAATATTTTTGATCCAATTATGGATATTAGTGTAAAATTGTTCTGTATGTTTGCAAAATTTTAGAGATATTTCTGCATCTCTAATTTGATTTTTTTGCTTTTGTAATTAAAGTGATATCGATACGGTTCATGCTCTACAATATCATCAAACTGTATAGTTCCCTATAAGAAGGAACATCTTAACAGATATATGTCATGTTTTGAAAAACATATTTTGAGGTCCCAGAAAAGGTAAAGAGGTCCCAAAACCTGCTGTAATGGTGCATCCCTCATTATTTTCCCCTAATTATATATTTTAATTTTTCAAACAATCCACTCATTATCTTTTCAACTAAGTACAATTAAAGTTCACATTTAATGAAGATGTCATTCAGTTAGGTTTAATCAAGAGTTTTTTCAAAATGTACCTCAATCAAAGTATTTAAACAACATACATGTACTGTATAATTAATTTTAGTTGTAATCAACCCTGATGTCTGTTGCGTACTATATATACTGTAGTATCTTTGAGGATGTTGAGTTGTGTAAGAGTATTCTGATGTAACTGTTTTTATTTGATGACTTGGTTCTGATTTTGGATACAGCATAAAAATCTGACAATGTGCACTTTAAAAAGAGATTGAAGGTATGTGTATGTTTTTTATTTCACCATTGTTTTTAGTTTTAAAATCCAAAATATGAAATATGAGGCCTTTAACAAGGCTCTCAGATAGTGAATACAATTTTAATTCCTGTTTTTTTTTTATTTTTATTTACTTTCATAACAGTGTTCAGGCCCGTAGACAGGATTTGCCAAGGGGGTTCACTTTTTGAAAAATTCTGGGGGGGTCACTTTTGACGATTGTGGTTCAAAAATGGCCAAAATCAATTAAAAAGTGCTCAGAATGATGAAAAACTGCATGATTTTGAAAGAATTTTTGGCCATCGAACACTTGGCTACGGGCCTGGTGTTTATTCATTCAGTATGACAAATTGCTATTTGGCAAGATGGTAATAAATCAATAAGTTTTGATTTTTGGGCTAAGAATTCACTAAAAAGTCACTGGTTGGTTCCAAAAGGTTTCTATATCATAAAGTATGTATTCATTCTAGAAAATTCAAGATGAAAACTATTGAATTTAACCGATTGGCTCTTTTTAAGTTTTAAATTTTATTCATGTTTAAATGTATCTATCCACATTGGATTTCAAAAGGCTCATAAATTTTAATAAATACTTTTGATGATATTTGGGGTCATTGTGACATTTCATCTCAACACTTTGAAACCAATGTTGTTATACCTAATATGTCAGGATGGCTTATTGATTATATTCAGTTAATATGAACTTGAGATAACAAAAAGTTACTCACAGTTCGTGTGTTCTAGTGGAGGGTGGTACCTATGTAGATTTTAACTATTAATTTATTTGCCTACATGATTTTTACTTTATGTAATACGTCATAGAATCATTTCCTTCTTTGAAAAAGTACAGGAATCCTACAGATGAACTTAAGGTAGTTTTAAGTAAAATGCTCAACATCATTTTAACAAAATATTTTGATTTTGAACAATGTATTCTACAATTATTTGTAAGTATCCACATACAAATGTGAAAATATTACCAGTTAATTCACTAATCATTGGTATAATTATAATCGTAAAAATGCATTAAAATTCTCATCATGCAGATGCACCTTAATCATTTGCCTACAAGATGATAATTAGAGGTTATGTCACTATCGTGGCATATATGCCCGAGGTCTCAGTGATATATGGCCCGACCTTGGGAGGGACATTGATCTCTGAGAACCGAGGGCACATGTGCCACGATAGTGACATAAACGATTTATAACATGCCTATGATGATGTAGACTGGTCAGAGAGTACCATTTTCTTAAAGAATTGACAAATAAATGGTTTGAAAATGATTGAAATGAGTTTAGAAAAATTGCTCGCGCAGTTTTATCTTCGATTGATTGGTTATGACGTCAGCGCCTTGACCAATCAGAAAGTTAGCGGGCGCGGGCTTTTCGAAACTTATATTGGCCCGCTGTCTTGTGTACACTTTGCACTATACATCATCATAGGTATGTTATAATAACCATTACTGTATTTAATTGTATGTAATATAAGATTACACTTCCTTCTTAAGGTGAACTTAGACACTCATCATGTTACAGGATGATTCTCCGTCTAAATAACACTTATCTAATCAAATGTCTAGAAAGATATAACTTCAAATAATAAAAATATTAGTATTCAAGATATGTGGTTCTGTAAAAAAATGAAAAATTAATACTTAGAAATAATAGTGTTTGAATGATATCAAATAGTAGTATGGACTCAACTATACTTTTGTTGATTTTAGCTCATAAAATGATATTGGATATTAGCAACAATGACAGGTATGATGATATGAATCGCATTTGTAGGAATTGTTATTAAAAGCAACAGCTGATTAATGTATGTCATACAGTTATCTGCGATCCAATCACATTTTTATCAATATCATTTTAAGCCTTAAGATGTATTGAGTTTAATATTACTTTAGTCTCATACAGCCTATTGAAAGAGAAAAATGAATACACTTGCAACTCTTGGATGGGTATAAATGTACCGGTATTTTAAAATTTCTGTTGAATGGCTTGATTTGATGTGACACGATATCTACATCATGGAGATACTAACGGATTGATTATTGATTGATTCAAACTAGGTTCAAGGAAAAATATTAAAGAAACAAAAATGTCGCTCGGAGAAAGTAAGGAAATAATTTGAAGTCATTGAACTTTTATTTCATCAACCTTGATTTGATCAGTTGATTAGCAAAATTATTATGTTTGACATGCAGCCAAATATTTGACTCACAGCTAATACAGTCAACATAGGTCTTGTCACCTCTAAAAGTGCTAATTAGGAATTAGAAACTCCAATCAAAGGTGTTTGTTTTCTTAAGTGTTTTGTTTTCCTGATTCCTGTTCTGTGTTCAATTCCAGGAAGCCAATGTGATGTTAAAGAGGGGACTAACACACAGCAGTTTGTAAAAGGTAAGAATTGAAATATTATTTTTGATTACTTTTTTAATTCAAATTATCTTTTTATATTAGATATCTTTAGATCTACATTTTTTGCAGTAAAACTTAATATTAATGCTACTTTACAAATTGATGTCTGAATGTTCATTTTATCAATGAAAACACGAAAACTCAATTTTAGTGCAATTTCATTTCACTAGATAAATGCCCTACTATGAATTCAATGGAATCTATTGACCAAGTAATGTCCATAAACAGAGCCTGCCCCAATAAGGAATTTTGTCGTAAAAGAATGTAAACAATTGACCGCATTTCTTCATCAACAAAATTCTTGTATTTATCCAATGACGCCTCATTGAATAGATCAACTCTATAGTACTACGTCATTTGGTTTATCAATGAATTGAACTTTCACTAGTTGCCACATTTTTTTGTACTGTAAAGAACACACCTCACGCTATTAGAAATTTTTGCCAATAGGCATCAAAGAATATTCTCAGTTGGCGGTTATTGTATTGCACAAGTTACAGCCTATTGGCTCTATCATATTGACATGTAGCTTAATCTACTAACGCTCACAAATACAGTACTAAACCTAGATCCTAGGTTATATTAAAATAAATTTGCTCTGTAATAGAGAACATTTTAAACTTCAGTCTGGACGACAGTGTTTTATAAAATGGAACAAAGAGTTCAAAGACGCAAAAAGGAAATCAAATTGCCTTCTATTCCAGAATCTGCCCGGCATCCTGTCTGTACATGTAATAAAATGGCTGGTCAAAGCAAAACAAGAAGACGAGTACAACGACCAAGAGGAACATCCCCTCAAGAGATGACAGCATGGACTTTTATGGCAAAATCAAAAATGGAAAGGGATCTTAATAAATTAAAAGAACAAAAGTATCCATTTGAGAATCTTGTTCTGGAAGGAGGGGGTGTAAAACTGACAGCCTATCCTGGAGCACTTCAGGTAAAGTCGACACTATCACAGGTTTTCCTAAGGATATAATAATTCGCGCGACTATATTAAAATACATGAGGTAAAATTCAAATTGCTGAAATGAAAAACTAAAATGGATTACAAATATTACCATTGGACTTCATTTTCAGTTGAAATATTGCCTGAAGTAAACAATCTGTAAAATTCTTGCGAGGCAGTTGTTTCACATGGCTATAGACCCAACCCATCATTGCACAGTCATGAACTGTATATGTTCATGGTTTCATATGTATACAGTAAATAAAAAGGCTGAAGAAGTATGGAATCTAAGCCATCCATTTCATCAACAAGTTTAAAAAGGCTTAATTTGAATCATGTTTTCAAGAAAGAATTTTTGTGGTATTGTACACATTAGTTATTCCATTGTACCAGATGTTCAACTTTTTTTTTATAGTTGATGATATTCATTATTGATGAGAATATTTATTTCCAATATGCTCAAAGTAAAAAGGAATGTGAGATAGTCTTTGACTCATGCTCTAAAGCATCAACATTTCTAATCTGCTTTTGATATTAATGCAATCCTGGATATATATAATGTGCAGAATTATATCTATTTTCAATTTAATTCCAATCTTAAGACATATTAGTGAATTCACTTTGTATGTAAGTGCTTTTAACATAATCCATATTCTGCTGCATTGAAGTAATGCAAATTGAATATATGCGATATAATAAAAATTGCTCAGCTAGTGGTTAAAAACAGCAAAACTTTCCTTAATGAACATTGAAACTATTTCTCCAGAATTAACTTTCTATAGCTATTATAAAGCATTTTAATTATTCAGTTCATTCAGAAAAAATGATGACTGAGAAAAGTATTTGACTAGTATTTATCTAGAGTTTGGAAAAACAAGAATACTTTTGATTATAAAAAGTATGACTGTTTTTTTGTATTTCATTGAATTCATTTGAAGAAAAAAAGTTCAACAGCTTTGAGAAAGAACGACAAGAAAAACCACTTGTATATTCATATCAACCGATAGCAGAGTTTCAATTCAGACAGAAAAAATGAATAGGTTTCAAAAAGAACCACAAAAACAAACACATGCTGACAAGTATATGCTCAGTTTTTGACCATTATTTAAAGAATTTAATATTATTTGAAATGTATAATACCAAATTAAATGGACAATAGTGTCGAAAGAACTCAAAATTCTAGGTGTAAATATCAAAATTCATTGTTTTTCTTTCAATAATCTCTATTTTAGATTTTTGTCACTGGGCTTCGCTTAAAAACCAAAGAGTCGAAAGATTTCCAGATTTCCATTGCAAGATTAGAGATTTAACCCTAATATTTATCACAAGAATTAAAGTGATCAAAGTTTCTTTTCATGTATAATAGAATTATTGAAATTATATAACCTTTGTATGTTTGGTTGAGCAAAGCAGCTTTAAAGTATGCTGTTTATCCAATGGTTGGGATATAACATTCGAATTGGGAAAGAATAAGAGTAATGATCTTATACTTTTATAATCTACAGTTCCAAGATGAATATTCTGCTTCTTCCAAAGTTCATGAAATAATATTCTCTTAAGAGTATTGTGGTTTAAATATACACTTTAGATATTTCAACAAATTAATTAATTAATCATAAACATTTGCACAGTTGCACAGTTTTTCAGATGTATACAGGCCCACATTTATCCATTTTTAATAAGCTGAAGAATTATGTTCTATTAGAAACTAAATCCCTTCATAGTAAATTGTTTGCAATATTTTTTGCCATGTTTTGAATTGAATTACAGATCAATCACAAGGGTCCAACTATGCATGTTGAAAACCATTAATTTGAATTTTAGACCTACCAGATATTTGAAAATCAATGATTGCGAGTCCCAAACGGCACTGTTTTTCTTCAAACCTGTTCCATACAATGCAAAATAAAAATGCCTTCTTGTTGGTACATTATTCTGTAATGCAGACTCCCTCCTTTTAGCGGCATTTGGGTCCTCAGTTGTAAGAAGCCCTTGACAAAAATGACTATAGGGCCTTTTTAAGTCTAATTATTATTCAATTGTGAGCCCCTACTTTTAATAAACCTTATTTCAAAAAATGTATTTATTTATAGGGATTAGAAGATATTGGAATCCTACAGAACATTAAGAGATTCTGTGGTAGTAGTGGGGGAGCGATCGTGGCAATGTGCCTCGCCCTAAGGTATACCCCAAAGCAAATTGAGAATATGCTGCTAAACATGGACCAAAGAGCACTATTTATGGGTAAGTTTTACCCTGATGTCAATGGACTAGTGTTCAATACTACCCTCTGAAGTGAGCGAATTGCTTTTCTGATGCTGTTTGTCTGTTGGTTTATGTGTTGGTTTGTTTGTTAACTATGGAAACACACATATATAAGCTTTAATACATGTAGATGACATCATTTAAATCAAACAGTACTTAATGTTCAGCATATGAGTACAGTGCTATATTATATTTTTCAAATATTCCATTTTATTGATACATCTTTCAAAAGTGAAATTCTACAGAGTTTGAATTGCATGGATTAGTATATTGTGAAAGTGCTACAGGTCTTCTCTGAAAATAGAATGGAATGTTTGTTGTATTTTATTACTGTCATGCGTATCATTCTCATTTTTTAGATTTATATCATTAAACATTGCATGATGGACACATTTATATAAGTAAACATCTCCTGTTTGCAAACTTGATTATAATATAAACTATATTTTCAAACTAAACACGGGGCCTTTAATCTACACCGAACAAAATTAATTTCATTGAATTCCTTGGAGTAATAGTTATTTACTAGTCCAATTTGATTACCAGTACAGCATTGTTTTAACAAATCATTATGCATTTTAATTATATTCCAGATGCAAAATGTGGACTTCTTAATTTCCTCCCTAATCTTGTCAGAAAGTTTGGGTGGCACCCAGCCAAGAAAATCGTGGAATATGGACGAAAAACTATCAAAGAAGCTTCTGGGAATCCAGACCTTACATTTAAACAGGTTTGTGAAACATTTTCAAAAATGTGAACATTTTTTTTTTAAACACTTTATATGTGTACACCTCTATGATGAGAACTCTCCTATATTGTAGATGATTATTTTTGAATTTTAGAATCACCCAAATCTTGCCAAGGCTTCATTTGACAATGGGGATTACAAAACTGAAGTGGATCCGCTAAGCATATAGGTCAATTAATAAACATTTACTCTGCCAATACTGCACCCCTTGCGCATACATTCAAGAAAATATGTCACACCAGATACAATTTCTTAACGTTTTACCCTCATGACCTCTTTCCTTTGTCTCTGTTTTGCTCAATCAAAACGGAGATCATATTTCTGACTGTCAAGATTTCAATTTACAATGCACTTCATGGAATTTATTTTAAGGCAGCTCAAAAATAAGTTATTTGATTTATATCAGTTTGACAGGTACTTCTGTAAATTTTAATCAAAATCTCGTATTGCACATTTCTATACTTCTGATGTGATGCTTCTGTTTGTAAATATTGTTTTAAAAACCTTTTTGTTTTTGAGAATACTGGATATATTCTTGGCAATGAGGGGTGAATAATAAGGTGGTAATTTTGAGTGATTCTTTAAATTCAGGGAATTAAATCATATTATTTCATTCTTTATCAAGTCACAATGACCCGTTTTCATCAAATTGTAGTATAATTGATTTGTAAACACTTCCAAAATTTAAATATTCCAGAACAGAAAAGCAAGAACTATACATCAACAATTTATTCCTAGGCTCTTTCCATGATTTGATTGACAGTTCTATTTTTACTTCCCATATATGGGTGAAATTGATGGCCTGTATTAAACTTGGAGGTCAAGCTGATCTGGTCACTCATTAAGACAATTTAGAACTTGAATTCTGACTAAATATGATTGATTCCTATCCTATATATCTCAGCTGAAACACATTTCTAGAAAATTTAACCTTTCAAACCATTTTTGATTATCCAATATCAGATCAATTGGGGAATGATGGGTATCTTTTATGTTTACAATTACCGATATTGAATGAAAAAGAAAATTTACAAAATTTTATGTAGATATTAAACATCAGTAAACATTTTGGAATTTTTTTTATTGTAGCGCTAAATTGAATTTACCAATGTATAAAAACCCAAACGGGAGTTCTTGAAAAAAATATTTTGAATAGTCCTCTCAGATTTTAATAATTGTTCTGAAGTAAGGATTATTTGAATTAATGTGTCAAGAAATTTTAGATAAGTTCTTTATGAATGTGGCATTTGTTTAAGATTATTTAGGTCAAGTAAAGAAAATGCATTGTGTTGTTTTCCCCTGTTCACCTGACAGTTTTATTGCTTATTGTATGTAGACATGACCTTAGAATTGTATCTTTATTAACCAATATAAAAGCTTCCTATTGATTATCTGTTATTATGAATGTTTTGATATCGCACAATATTAAATATGTTGAAATTAGAACTGGGCTTCAGTCTAGAGTTACATATGGTGTTGAAAACATATCATGCATTGAATTATTTTAAACAATTATTACGTTAAATTAATCAACTATATCTTACTGAATAGAAAATAGGTTAATCTATTCATTGATGAATATGGCTTGACAACACTAGATTGTTAATATTTTTTGTTATTTCATGTTTTAATTAATGCTCCGTGTAAATGTATGGTCATTGCATATAAGGTAGACACAATTTCAAATGATGGGTATCTTTTATGTTTACAATTACCGATATTGAATGAAAAAGAAAATTTACAAAATTTTATGTAGATATTAAACATCATTATAGTCATGAAATGGCTAAACATTTATGTTGATATATTTCAGCTTTATGATCAATTTGACAAGACTGAACTGTGTATAACAGCAACAAATCTAACGACAACATCATTGGAGTATTTCCATGTCAAGACTTCACCCGATCTTCCCATCATTCAGGCTGTAAGGGCTTCAATATCTATACCAGGTCTGTACTCTATAATCTCAAACCAAAATATCATATAATAGCTTATTCAATTCATAAATGTGCTGAAGCGACACAATCTTCTATTATGACATTGCTTCTGCTCCAAGTTTTTTAAATTAGTAAATTATCGATGTTTATTTGGCAAATATAGAAACTGAAAAGTCAGCTAAAACAATAAAAGATACCATACTTGGTTTAGGAGAGCCTGTGTAATGCCACAGTTCAGTTGCCACATCAACTATATCCCATTGTCTTTCAGATGAAAACCCTCTGCTCGATGCCACCCCCTGCCATTCATTTACCTAGTATTTTTTATGTAACAGGTGTATTACAACCACTGAAGTTGGAGAGAAATGGCATGACGAATTACTATGTAGATGGAGGCATTCTAAACAATTATCCAATCAATGCATTTGATGGTGAGTGTTCAGTGTTTTAAATTCAAGATATTTCATATTTCTGAAACTCATATATGCAGATGTTTCAGACGTAAGTTTTATATATTATTGTAAAGATTAAAGTAACATTATTGTAAGGTTACATTATTTGATTGCTGTCATGGTTCTGTTGAAAGCCCATGATAGCAACCAAATAATGTAACTTTGATCTCGACAATAATGTTGCTTTGATTTTTACAATAATATATAAACCTAACGTCTGAAACATCTGCATATATGAGTTTCAGAAATATGAAATATCTTGTATTTAATTTGAAAGTCCATGATTACTATATAAATTATTAATTCATTTTCTGGTACAATTCTTATTATAGCTATTAGATCAACAGAAAGATGACTATAGTGGTTTGTGTATTAATATTGAAACACTACTGCCATCTTTCTGTCAAACAGAAATGTGCTTAATATTTGAGCTCGTAAAATTATATTTTACAAAATAAATCAGAAATCGATGAGCAAGCTGGGTATGTCAAAATGTCCATTACACTGTAAAGAAACTGGACATGAAAACAAGTCATGTCGATTGGATATGTTTGTATATTCAAGATCCTTCAGTGTATTAGCTAAAATATTCTCTTCAAATATATTTATTGCAGGCTGGTTTCTTTCCATGGAAAACAAGGATTCATTCTTCCAGAAACTTGGGACGGATGAAGATTTCTTTGGTACAATCAACCCCAAGACTCTTGGCATGATGCTGGTAAGAATGGTATTATGCAGGGTGATTTAAATTAATCCAACCTATTTAGACAAAATAGGATTTGAATAGACATGAAGACAGATTTTTGTTACTTAATATACACTGGTGGATTACATGATTGTATGATTCTTTGCATTTGCGCTGATAAGGCTGTTGGCCTCTTGAAAGGTTTGAAACCAAGGCATTTTTATTATTGCCATATTTTACTTGAACTACTGTATCTTAACAACCCATTTCACACATTTTAAAACACAATTTGTGAAGGTTGAATGATATGTCATAGTTGGAGCAGTTATACTGAAACACCACTCTCTGTCTAAAAAAGAATTTTATTTATGTGGAAAATATCATCTGTTTTTGTATTCAAAAACTTTTCTCCCATTCAGAAAAGAACAAGGGGCAACACAAAATCAAAAATATAGACTTTTATTTAAAAATATCATTTGACTGTTTTAAGTAGCTTTTAACTATAGCATAAGAAATTAGATTTCAACTCAAAACCCATAATTTTCAAAACTGATAATTTGAGCTGTAAACTACAAGACATTTGAACCTACAATCCTACATGCACATGTTTTTCAGTTCTCTGGTTTTGAAGGAGAATCGGTGAAGCATAGAACTCTCAACTGTAAACCTTGTAAAGATGCCACCCTGCGGCCAAGCACAAAACTTTCAAAGTAAGCGTTTCATTGATTTAAAATTGCATACTTTAATCAGCATAGATAAATAAACACAGAACAATAATAAAATGCAGGTCAGCTGGTCTTTAAAAATTTCATAGTAATTTACTTATACGAGGTTCCCGACTTTCTTAGGCTGACAGTGTAGCTGTCTTTGCATAATACATTACTTATCAGAATCTAATTGTATATACATTTATTAAGTGAATATATTGATATTTTTTTTTTTTTTTTACAGGAAGCATGGAGAAAAATGTGAAGACATGTTACGTAAATGCAACCAAAAATTCCACATGTGTGAGGCAGTGAAACGCTTCATGCAGGAACTCAAAGATTCAGATATTGATAAAGATGGCGTGATTGACTTGATTGAACTGAAATATGTCTTCGATAAGTCACAGAAAAATCCTGAACTGAAGAAAGACATGGAAATTCTCTTTGGAAAATCATATACGTTTAATCACATGGTACATTTTGTTTTCATGATCTTTCAAAATTAAAAGCTAGTATTAAAATTGTGAATCCTGCTTTGAAATAATGAGGTTTCCCGACTATATTTTATCATCTATAACACTCCATCTCCCCTGACAAAACCCCCACAAACAATACAAACATAGCAAAACTAATCAATTGATGTTTGTGTATTCTCTGTTTGCAGATGAATGAGTTGGACCGTAATCACGACTCAACAATCACTTTTCAAGAGTTCACAGATTTTGTTGAAAGAAAAGGGTTGCCCGCCCATTCTTTTCTCCAGGGGACTACCCATCTCAACATAAACAATGCAGGGACATTCTTCAGCTCAATTCTGGAGACACTAGATATTCACATAAAAAACTCCACATTAAAAGTAAGATATAAAATTCAATCATATTCATGTATGTCATTTTGTCACACTGAAACCTTTCATATGCTGCTGCTGTATATTGTAAGAGTATTGACTAAATCAAATGTTATACAGGGTGACCCAAAAGAATCTTCTAAACGTGTTATAATTTCTTAAATACCAATCCTATCAACCCAATTTTTAATGTGCATAAACTAGAATCACAAAACACAAAATATCTTATTTGTGATATCATGGATGATCTCAGATTGTGTCCAATTTTCAGAAAATCAACATTAAGACATTGTACATATGTATATATTCAACATAGAAGACCTTTGCTGAAATCTGAAAATGTGACACATATTTTGTCTGTTCAAAAACAAAAACAGTAAATCTTTGTAAAAATCACTCTTATTCCTCTTATGTAAATGTTCTCATAATTTTCATTGCATTGTTTTTACCAACTTGCTTTATAATTTCAAACTAACTATGGCATTAACATTTGAATTACATTATGGTTCCAGAAAGAGCATTTAGAGAGGACAATAGGCATATTCACAGATTACATCAGTACACTGGACACGCTTGAGACGGAAGACTGCAAATTCCTAGCATATGTAAGTCATTGAATATCTATACATCCTTCAAACACAGGGCTCGAGGCATCATCCACTCTGCGTAAGAAGAAAGGTACAGAGTGGATGCTGTCCTTAGCCTTGTATTATTTCGGAGAATACATTTGTGATGTACTTATACACATTAATGTGAAAAAAACTTGATTTGTACATGATGTATTTTGATGATGTTAATTCATTGTAACCATTTTTGAGTGTTTGAGAACCCATTTAGTGGAGGTCTATTGGGGATCATCTTTTTAAACCTTGTTTCAATATAGCCCCTCCCATTACACAGTATAATATGACTTATTAATCAATTCTCATTAAATGCTGCTATACTTAAGCAAAATAAAATGTATTTTGATCTTGGTGATTCATAGCATTAATATATACTTTCAGCAAGGCAAGGTTGCTGCTATTACATATGTCAAAGAATGGCTTAGGATGAACAAAACAGATCCTAAATTCAACCTAAGACATTCAACTGCCAGTTACAGTTCCGATGATGAGGAGCATATATGTCAATGTCACATGACAAGACGTAACTCTAATGACAATTCATCAAATAGCACAGTCCCAGAATCTGTAGACTCGGTAGACTCGAGAGTCTCAGACTCAACCATGAACTCCGACTCAGGAACATCAGGAATGTTTGGAACATCAGCAGTGTCTGAAACATCCGGAATGTCTGAAACATCTGGAATGTACAGAACATCGAGATTGTCTGGGACTTCAGATATGTCTGAAACAGCAGGAATATTTGATTTGAACAGTGAAAAACATCAAAAGAGGGACTCGGGGCGAAAAACAGTCCATTTTCATGAAGACCAGATGGATTCTGGATTTGGGGAAGGAATATCTCCGCCTTCAAGTCCTTTTGTTATTGAACAATCTGCAGTAGATGAGAATTATGTTGCCATGGAGACATGTGATACACGCCTCTAATATTTCATGAAACAGAAGAGATAAGATGAATCAAGCCGCAAGCAGTTCAAAAAATATGGGAATTCAAAAATATATTCGTAAAGGACTATTTTGACTAAAAGATGGCAGTACGGGTCTATTTATATGCTTGTATGGAAAGAAGCTACTTAAAGAAAAAACACTTCATTCCGTTTGTAGAAATTACTTTTATTATGTCACCACCACAAGTATTGTTATTGTCTCCAACTTTTTTGTGACGGCATCCAGTGGTTGTTGTTGGTATTTGGAGTTTGGTACCTGTAACAAATGTAACAAAGTGCATGTGGTGACATTTTGCATGTTAATGCCTGGTACAGTCTTGATACTGTCCCTTTAGTTTATACCACTTGATCTCGATTTCAATGGCATCATTCCAATTAGGTTGTGAAATCAAAATCTCAGGAAATCTCAAAAAATAATTGTTTCTTTCACAATTTTGCTTTTTCACATTATAATATGTCTTCCAAGATGTCTTCCTTACTTTGTGGTCTAATAATAAATGTGCAATATTTACACATGATCTCAAATGAATACTTCCCGAGGTACAGTTTATAATGTACGATTGGCCCTTTCCATCATTGACAACTTTTAGTACATTTTAGTCTCACTTTTAGCAAGTTCATTTTTTTTAAAAAATAATGTTCAGATTTAAATGTAATATTCAGCAGGTGGTCAATATTATTCACAGTCATGTTTGATAAAGTATTAAATAATTAACAAGGTTATTATTTGTTGTTAACACATGGGACTTGTCAGTGAACGGTTCATAAATTGGCTTAGCTAATAGGAAGAGCTCTAGCAAGTGCCTTTTGTATTATTCTTTTATGAGAAACATTTGAAATATATTTTTTTAATATTATGAACGTTTTATGTCATTTATCCATTTAAATTATATTTAAATATCATGTAAGTTTGTTTGAAAATGAAATAAGAAAATTAAAAATGTGTCATTTGCATATTTAAGGGTAATCATCATCGACTTTGTACATTTAACATTGTGGTGCCAAAGTTATTGGAAATTGATAAGTAATAGACAAACCAATACTGTCATTTTTATATCTCAAACCTATGGTTTTTATGTAAGTACAACAAGGGAAAAACCAAAGAGCATGACAAAATACACAAATAAAAACTTCTAAGCGTATACTGTAGATACACTTATTTTGACTGAACTTAATTGGACGGATTTGCTCAATTTAAAATATTGGTGGCTATTTAATTTGGCGGATTCAGGACTGAATTATAATTTTTGTAGATGTTTATGTCATTAGGAAAGGTGTTTACTAAGATATTTTCTGTGTTTCTTTTGGAATTATAAAAAATTGATGACATGTTGACAGGAAGAGAGGCTCCTGAAGTTTAATTATCCCATCGAACGAAGTTCGGAGGGATATAGGGAACGCCTCCGTCCGTCCGTCCGTACGTACGTCCGTCCGTCCGTACGTCCGTCCGTCCGTCCGTCTGTCCGTCCGTCCGTCCGGGCAATAACTCAAATACCGTTGGCCCGATTTTGTTCATATTTTGTACACATATACCCTATTGGGGTAGAAGTTCTGCTCGAAAGCCGATTTTCAAAATGGCCGCTCATTTCAAAATGGCGGCCATTTTAGTGCCGATTTTACAGTAATTTTAGGTACAATATGTAAAACTGTAATAGCAATATGTTTTAAGTGTAAAAAAATTATAAAGGACATTAATAAAGCTACAAATGTAGATAAAAAAGCACATGGCAGCCATCTTGAAAAATGGCGGCCTTTACTCGTTATTTTACGATTTTTGCTGTAACTCAAAAAGTAGTGGAGCGATTTTGTTCATATTTGGTATGTGAATACAATAAGCATGGCACACTGTCCTATGACACTTTTGGTAGAAGGCGGCCATTTTGAAAAAAAATTTGAAAAATTGCCACCATTTTAACATATTTTACTATAACTCGAAAAGTAGTGGAGCGATTTTGTTCATATTTGGTATGTGAATACTATAAGCATGGCATACTGTCCTATGACACTTTTGGTAGAAGGCGGCCATTTTGAAAAATGGCCGCCATTTTAACGTATTTTACTATAACTCGAAAAGTAGGGAAGCACTTTTGTTCATATTTGGTATGTGAATACTATAAGCATGGCACACTGTCCTATGACACTTTTGGTAGAAGGCGGCCATTTTGAAAAAAATTTGAAAAATGGAAGTACATGTGTGCGATTTTTCAAAAATTTTATAGGTGGCTAATAAAAGCATATTATTTCTTCAGCCATTTCTGTTCGATGGGATTCGCTACGCTTTGGCGTTGCCGTTGTTCTGGTTTCTGAAGTGCATGGTACAAAAATTCCAAACTGAAATTTGAGGGATTTTTAATTTGGCAGATTTTCTGAATCTGCCAATCTGTCAAATAATTAAAACGGGAGCCAAATTAAGTGTATTTACAGTAACCAGCATGATTGCCAACGTATATTGGCATTCAGTCAATAGCTCAGTATAGGGGAACTTGATTTCCATGTATTAAGAGGTCTGTCCTTACATTAATTTTGGTGTGTGGTAAACATAAGGCAGCAAAAGGCCAATAAAGATGGGTTGAGGGTAAGTTGGAAAAAGTGTTACAATTGACAATATTATTTACTCTCATCATTTCATGATTTCTTTGATTTTCAAAGTTATATTGCTAAAATATTGAATGTGAATCTAGCTTTTTCAAATCTAATGAATTTGGATATTTGTACCATCTAAAAGCTTCATTAACTTGAATTATCTTCAGATAGATGTTACATTAGTAATTAGGATTGTATTAAAAACACCAGGAAGAACTATATTTAATATGCAATAAATCAGTTAGAGAAAACTCATGACTTCATTGGTGCAGCATGTATTTCAATTTACCATTTGAATACATGGCTAATAGAAAGATAAGCAACAATACAACATACAGCTGTAGTAGCTAAACTAATTTTTACTGAACAATTTTGCATTTGATATTTCTTGTGTTCTTTATGTTGCCCTTTGTACCTTTTAGACACCAAATTAATAAATATTTAAATGAACAAACAAACAAACAAAATATTGCTTCTGAGTATTGATTGCTATAGTGATAAATATTTAAGGAAGCAATACACAGAATCCAGTAAAAAAATAACTGACCAATTACAAGTACAGGGTGTGCCAAAAATGACTTTGTAGGGTTTGGTCGATTATTGGCAATTGCATAACCTTTGTTAAAATTATGTTAAGTTGCATTGCATCTTGGGTCCATTTTATAATTAAAAGTTTATTTAGCTACTACACATTCATCTCTAGTTTTTTGTACTGATAGAGCTTCCAAAAATAGATATAGTTTTCAAAACAGGTCAAATCAAACTGTTTTACTAAATGAGATGCTCTGTATAATAACATAAATACATTTTACAGATTGAAGTCTTGATAAAAAACTCATTTTAATAACTTATTTAATAATTTTTAGATTACTAATGTTTTAGTAATATATTTATAACTTAGTTATTACATGGAGGCTCATTTTCATTTCTCACATCCAGTTGAACAAATGATGCATTTCATAATAGTCTTTTTTCATTTCAGGCTTTTTTCAAGTGTTAACAAGATTTCTTTCACATAGCAGTTTGGTTGGAATTCTAAAGATGTCTACTATGGAAATGCAGCCATTTTTAAAAGGAGAAAAGCCCTTAAGTTACTCCAAAGCAGGGCTTATTGGGCCCGGTGAGAGTGCAAAGGATGAGCCAGAGGAGAACATAGATGCTGACTCACACACCAGACTTCATGAAACTCCAACAATAGAACAGCATATTGACATATTAGGGGTATATGTCCCCATGAAAGCGCTGAATGTTTGCTTGGCTATATTCTCTGTGCTATTTAACGTTGCTATGAACATTAGCTTACCATTATATTCTCAAGCTGTTAATAGAGCCAAGGGTGATGAATACAATGTACTACTGTTCTCCACATTCTGGTTTCCTATCATCTTCTACATTATGGTGGCTTTTATCAAAATCTTCATTGACAGGGACATGCCAATATTGCCCACATCTAAATGGTACCATGTTGTGATGGTTGGGTCATTAAATGCACTGAGTGGATTAATGATGGTGTATGCCAGTGACCCTTCACGTACACCCCCATATCTACAGGCTGTTTTAGCCACATCCATTATTCCATACACAGTTATTGCAAGACTTGTTATTCGCAGAATAGGTAAGCCATAAAACATCTTTTGTTTATAATTGAGACCAAGAAAGTATTATGGCACATATAATTGATTTGGGATTGCCTCGTTAATGGCCCCGTAAGGGCAAGTACATGGGTCAGAAATTACGGGTTCTAACGGGCCTTGTGTTCACAAGCCAGTATGAGGCAATTACGGAACTTGTTATTTTGCCTGTACATGGTTGTACAGAGCCCATTGAGGGAATGGATCTCGTACAACTTTGTACGGACCCCGATGTAATTTGCCTGTGTAGAATGGTTGCCTCAAATAATGGGTAATATGAATGTAAGGCTATAGTATCAATGGAGGTTTTACAAGAGATAAAGGAATTCTACCTCAGAAGTGCACATCACAGGTCTCATTGACATCATATGGTTTCATAAATCAGAAGCCATATGGGCAATGTCACATAGAATTAAACTATGTCTAACAGTCATTATGCTGAATAAAATATTCAACTGGGGCGAGAATCAAGTGTTCCTATGTATACTGGCTGTTAAACTTTTTTCCATTAGAGGTAACCAAAAGCTATTCAATTTGGATTGATTTTAGATATACCAGTAACATATTTTTAATGGTTGGGGCTTAATCAACCAATGTTCTTGTGAGAAAATGAGGATTTCAGCAAGGGTATATTGATTCAACAAGGGGATATGGATCATTGACTTAACATTGGCTTATAATTGTATCACAATGCTATCACCATGGAGATATCATGAAATCCACATTATCTTAGAAGAACATTGGCTGATTGAGTCTAAATCAGTAAAATTATGTTATTGGGTATGTATTTTAAGTTCTAATTTGTCGGGAGTCCTTAAACAGGAGGTTTTGCCTAAACTTAGGGTTTTCTGAACATTTTGGTTACCTGTTTATATGATTATATAAAATTACATTGTTCGTGTAATGTTTTACACACCTGTTCTTCTTCAATGATGACTTTCCTTTTTTTTCATATACATTATTTTTATTTTGTTCCAGGGGTCTGTTTCAAAAGATTTGTATGTACTGGAGTGGTATTGGTTGGATTATTCCTCTGTTCCGTGCCACAGATATTTGGCATCAATAAGCCTGCCAGAAACAACGAAGAACCAGGTACACCTGTGCCTATGGCATCAAAGGTCTTCTGGCCAGTTATATTTGCCCTTGGCTTTCTCCCAGTTGGAATCCTGAATGTCATCATAGAGATTGCCATGAAGAAAGATGAGGTTTGTACCACGTGCATGTATCATCCTGTTATGTGTTTTGTAAAGGAAGTATCACCATATAACATGACAATTAGGAATGTATATCGGTGTGATGTGATTCTCACCATATTGTAATTGTAATTGTTGATCATTTTGTAAATGTTAAAAAGCCTTTCCACTATACACTTATTATGTACCCTTGTCAAATTTTAAATAAAAAATGATAACCCAAGCTTTTTTTATGATTTCAGGCTGAATCTGTGACATTCATAGCTGCCAGCCAGGGGATCAGTTTCCTCACTATTGTGTTTTTCTTCTGGACAGACTTTATACCTGGATTTGGACAGGTAAATCAAATAAAATATGACAACCTAGTTAAATCAAATAAAATATGACAACCTTTGCTTCTTCATGATTGTATTTGTTTGAGTTTATTGTCTGTTTATTTATTATTCTATATCATTGATTGTCCGTGACTGTGGTTCATCTTTTGTTTTGCCATTGGTTGTCTCAGTTTGTGCTTCATACTTTGTTTTGTTTCTGGTTGTCTTAGTTTGTTAATTTATTTGTCATTGGTTGTCTTAGATTTGCTTCATATTTTGTTTTGCCATTGTCTTGTCTCAGTTTGTGCTTCATAATTTATTTGTCTCTGGTTGTTTTAGATTGTGCTCCATATTGTTTTTGGAATTGCTTGTCTCAGTTTGTGTTTCATATTGTGTTTTGTCTCTGGTTGTCTCAGTTTGTGCTTCATACTTTGTTTTGTTTCTTTTTGTCTTAGTTTGTTAATTTATTTGTCATTGGTTGTCTTAGATTTGCTTCATATTTTGTTTTGCCATTGTCTTGTCTCAGTTTGTGCTTCATAATTTATTTGTCTCTGGTTGTTTTAGATTGTGCTCCATATTGTTTTTGAAGTTGGTTATCTTAGATTGTGCTTCATATTGTGTTTTGTCATTGGTTGTCTTAGATTGTGCACCATGTTGTTTTTAGAATTGCTTTTCTTGATTATGCTTCATATTGTGTTTTGTTTCTGGTTGTCTCAGTTTGTGCTTCACACTTTGTTTTGTTTCTGGTTATCTTAGTTTGTTAATTTATTTGTCATTGGTTGTCTTACATTTGCTTCATATTTTGTTTTGCCATTGGTTGTCTCAGTTTTTGCTTCATAATATATTTGTCTCTGGTTGTCTTAGATTGTGCTCCATCTTGTTTTTGAAGTTGGTTATATTAGATTGTGCTTCATATTGCGTTTTGTCATTGGTTGTCTTAGATTGTGCTCCATATTGTTTTTGGAATTGCTTGTCTCGGTTTGTGCTTCATATTGTGTTTTGTTTCTGGTTGTCTTAGTTTGTGCTTCATACTGTTTTTGGAATTGGTTGTCTTAGATTGTGCTTCATATTTTGCTTTATCATTGGTTTTCTTAGATTTTGCTTCATACTGCTTTTGGAATTGGTTGTCTTAGATCGTGATTCATATTGTGTTCTGTTTCTTGTTCTCTCAGATTGTGTTTCATATTATGCTTTGCCATTGGTTGTTTCAGTTTGTGCTTCATATTGTTTTTTGTCCCTGGTTGTCTTAAATTGTGTTTTATCATTTGTTTCCTTAGATTGTGCTTCATATTGTGTTTTGTCATTGGTTGTTTTAGATTCTGCTTCAAATTGTTTTTGGAATTGGTTGTCTAAGCTATAACATTGTGCTTCATATTTTGTTTGTCATTGGTTCTCTTAGATTGTGCTTCATATTGTGTTTGTCATTGATTGTTTCAAATTTTGCTTCTTTTAGGTTGTACTTCATATTACCTTTTGTTATTGATTGTCTTAGATTATAAAATAATATATGTCTATCTAAAAAGGTGTCTCTGCTTTTCCAGGCTAATTCAACAGCAGAATTTGTAGACCATCTTCATACAAGTTTGCTCTGCCATTTTGGTGCTGATCAATCCTGCCTTGATGTCCTTGGCCTCAGTTGGCTGTTTATCTTTTCCTATGTACTCAGTTGCATATTTATGTTCTTACTGATTCGTTATGCTGAAGGCGCCATCTATGCTGTAATTGTGATTGCGCTAGTGACACCTTTAGGAACACTATGGTGGACATTATTCCAAAGTTCACCTCAGTTTGCCTGGGGCCCAGTGTTTAATGAAACTACAGTGTTTACCCTGATTGGATTATCTATAATGATGCCTGGTGTCATAATGTACAACTATTTTAGTCAGAAGGATGTGAAAGAGAAAGAACAATTGAATCAATCAACAAGACTTCAGCAGCCCTAGTCAATAAAAGATTTATAAATCTCAGACAATCAAAACTCGTACAGCTCAAGATACATATACATTGGTAGAGAAAGATCAGCAAACAACAATACAACATACAGCTGTACAAGCTGCACTCATTTTAACTGAACAATTCTGCATTTGATATTTCTTGTTTTCATTATGCATCCTCCATAAGCAGGGCTCCAAAATCCAGAATATCTTATTTCCTTTTACCCAGAAGGAGGTATGGATTCTTTTCACCTGCAGCTTGGGAGGATGTCATTATGCTGTCTTTGTACCTTTTACTAATCAAATTAACAAACAAAAAACAAATACATAAATAAACAAACAAACAAAATGAATGCTTCTGAGTATCGATTGCTATTGCAAATAATTAAGGTGGCAATACACTGAATCCAGGAAGAAAATAAATGATTCGTTACAAGTACAGAGTGGGTTTAAAATTGGTCAATTTTGATAACATACTTTTAAGTTTTTTGGTCCATCCTGTCGAGATGTCCATGACTATATGATGTACTTCAAATGTCTTCAAATGTTTACACATACTTGTATATAAATCACATGTCTGAGTAAACGTTTATTACTTAAGATATGAACCCATCATGTGGTTGTCATATGACAATAACTGATAACAATACAATATCATTGTCAAGTGCATAACCTTTGTTAAAATTCTTTTAAGTACTACTGAATCCTTAACATATTTTGTAATCAAAAGTTTGTAGCTACTAAACATTCATTTATGTTTTTGCTATATGAGATGTATAGTATAAGAACATGAAAATATGCAAATTAAAAACAATTAAATGCAAAGTACAGGTAAGTCTTTTCTCCACACTTATAAAAGAATGATTAAAATAATATTAAACACTGAATATCTTTCATAAACAGACTTTTTATTTCTCACATCTAGTGAAATAAATGCTTAGTTTCATGATGGTCTTTTTCCATTTCAGGCTCACTCATATCAGGTCTGAACACTATTTCAATCTTAGTTTGAATTTCTAAGGATGTCTAACATAGAAAGGCAGCCATTTTTAAAAGGGGTAAAGCCCTTAAGTTATTCCAAAGCAGGGCTAATTGGCCCCAATGAGAGCGCAACAGATGAGCCAGAGGAGATTATAGATGCTGACTCACACACCAGACTTTATCAGACTAGGAAAAAAGAACAGCATATTGACATATTAGGGGTATATGTCCCCATGAAAGCGCTGAATATTTGCTTGGCTATATTCTCTGTGCTATTTAATGTTGCTATGAACATTACCTTACCATTATATTCTCAAGCTGTTAATAGAGCCAAGGGTGATGAATACAATGTGCTCCTGTTCTCTGCATTCTGGTTTCCTATCATCTTCTACATTATGGTGGCTTTTATCAAAATCTTCATTGACAGGGACATGCCAATATTGCCCACATCTAAATGGTACCATGTAGTGATGGTTGGATCATTTAATGGACTGAATGGATTATTGGTTGTGTATGCTAGTGACCCATCACGTACGCCTCCATATCTGCAGGCTGTTCTGGCCACAACCATTATTCCATACACAGTTATTGCAAGACTTGTCATTCGCAGAATAGGTAAGCCTAAACATTTTCTGTTTACGAAGAATCCAAGAACATTGTGGTACATATAATTGATTGGAGGGATAACCTCATTGGATGTTGTCTCACTAGGGATTGCCTCATTGGATGTTGTCTCACTATAGGGGTTGCCTCAATGGATTGTGGCTGTATCAATGGAAGGGTTGCCTAATGGATGGGTTATATTGTTTTATTGTTCTTAAATGGTTTACACTCTTGATTGTTTTTCATTGCAGACTGACTACACGTTTTGTTTATGTCATATACATTACTTTTTGTTTTGTTCCAGGGGTCAGTTTCAAGAGATTTGTATGCACTGGTGTGGTTCTGGTTGGGCTATTTATCTGTTCTGAGCCACAGATATTTGGCATCGATATGCCAGGGGGGAACAGTGGGGACCCAGGGGCACCTATGACATCAAGATTCTTCTGGCCAGTTATATTTGCCCTTGGCTTTCTCCCAGTTGGAATCCTGAATGTCATCATAGAGATTGCCATGAAGAAAGATGAGGTTTGTACCCTGTGATATGTTTTATGTAGGAAATAATATGTCCCCCTAATGAGGAATGTATCGCCTTGTAATGTGATTATGCATTATGAATGAACCTGTATCCGCATTGTGTATAGTGTCTTGATAATTTTAAGGAAGCTTTATCCCTTCAATTATTATGTTTTGATATACAATATATAAGCTTTGTGAAAACACATGTAAACACTACCTGACTACAGTCATAATACAATTGTGATTTGATACATTGATTGTGTTATATAACCCATGCCTTTTTAATGATTTCAGGCTGAATCTATGACATTTATAGCTGCTTGCCAGGTGTTCAACTTTCTCACTATTGTAGCTTTCTTCTGGACAGACTTTATACCAGGATTTGGTCAGGTAAGTTGTATAAATTTCTTTGTTCTAATATAATGTTAATATCACAACCATTGCACCTTCTATTCTGATTTATGATTGCATTTTTTTAGTTTATTTTTTATTTGTCCTGGGTTATTTGTTCATGATCTATTGTCCTTAAGCTTCATATTGTGTCATTGGTTGTCTCAGTTTGCACTTCATATTGTGTTTTGTCATTGGTTTTCTTACATTGTGCTTCATAACGTTTTTTGTCATTGGTTGTCATTTCATGTGCTTTACATTGTGTTTTATCGTTGGTTTTGTTAGATTGTGCTTCTTGTCATTGCTTGTCTGGATTGTGCTTCATATTGTGTTTTGCCATTGGTTGTCTTAAATTGTGCTTCATATTGTGTTTTTCATTGGTTCTTTTGGATTGCACTTCATATTGTGTTTGTCAGAAGTTGTCTTAGATTGTGCTTCATATTGTGTTTGTCATTAGATGTCTTAGATTGCACTTCATATTGTTTTTTGTCGTTGGTTGTCTTAGATTGGACTTAACATACTGTATTTCTATCTGTTAGGTTTGTTAAGGAACATTTTCTTTGCTATTCCAGGCTAATTCTCCAGCAGAATTTGTAGACCGTCTTCACACAAGTTTGCTCTGCCATTTTGGTGCGGATGAAACATGCCTTGATGTCCTTGGGCGCAGTTGGCTGTTCATCTTCTCCTATGTCCTTGCCAACATGTTCCAGTTCCTTTTAATCCGTTATGCTGAAGGCGCCATCTATGCTGTAATTGTGACTGCGCTAGTGACACCTTTAGGAACACTATGGTGGACATTATTCCAAAGTTCACCTGAGTTTGCCTGGGGCCCAGTGTTTAATGAAACTACAGTGTTTACCCTGCTTGGATTATCTATAATGATGCCTGGTGTCATAATGTACAACTATTTTAGTCAGCAGGAAGCAAAAGAGAAAGAACAAATGAGTCAATCAACTAGACTTCAGCAGCCCTAGGTAATAATGGTTCAATGACCCTCAATAAGTAAAATTTTTACAGCTTTAGACAATCAAAACTTCAACAGCCCAAGAGAACTAAATGACTTCAACAGCCCTTCAAAACCAAAATGTCCACTGGCGGACCCAGGACTGTTTGCAGATGATACTACTTTAACGAGGTCAACTCATGATGTACCATCTCTTCATACACTACTTCAGAATGATATTTATAGTATTGATGAATGGATGAAATGTAATAAAATGAAATTTAAACTTTAGTAAAACAAAATTAATGAAAATAGTTGTTCAAAGTAAGGATGTGATGAAAATGCCATTACAATATCAAATAATGTAATTGTAAATGTTGAATCTTATAAATATTTAGGCGTTATTGTTGACAACAAATTAGCATTCAAAATACAATTTGAAAAGCTTTGTTCAAAGATTTCTTGTTGGCTATGTATTTTAAGAAGGCTAAAGCATTTGTTTCAAAATAAGCACTTATCACAATTTATAGTACACTCATATTACCAGAATTTAATTACTGCTCAATTGTCTGGGGAGAATGTTCCAATAAAATTCATTTGACTAGACTAGAGAAACTTCAAAAGATGGCAGCGCGAATAATACTTAGTGCTCATTTTGATGTTTCAAGTATTATACTATTTGAATCTTAAAAATGGACTCCAATTCAGGAAATGATTAAAAACAGGAAATCAATTTTAATGTTCCAGGCCATTTCAGGCATCTCTCCCCATATATTCAAAACTGTTTCAAAGAGACAAAGTCTGTCTATAATTATGCTACTAGAGCAGTTGTTGAAAACTCAATCTATATACCAAAACCTAACCTTGAAATATTTAAGAAAAGCATATCATTCAGTGGTTCGCATCAATGGAACAAGCTTGATGAGACTGTTAAATAGTCTGATTCTGTAAATTCTTTTAAGAAAGCCTACAAACAGATGTATCATATCAGAAAGTGAAGATTTATATAAATGCATTCTTTAAAGAAATTGTTCTTTATATTCATGTAAAAGGCCCCATATAAAGTTTAAACCACTTTGGCTTATATTGTAGTCTTACCCAATGTTATCAAAGTGTGATATGTGAAACTTTTTTTTTAAATTTCAAAAAGTGTTTTTTGATAGACTTTTTGTTCCAAAATTTGTGAATTTATTTAAAACCAACTTTTAGAGGTCACTCATATCTTCTAATTAGCCACAATTCATACCAATGTATAGCAATCATCCTCCCATGTTTTTTGCCGAAAAAATTAAGAAAATCGGTTCATAAATAAGCGAGAAATGAACTTATCAGTGCATGAAAATGGTTCTGAGAAAAATGCATTTTAAAATTTTAGTTGTCATAGAAACCAATGGTACAATGATATCTAAAACATAATTTATTCTTCCTTTTAACCTGGTTAGACAATCAACATTGATTTTTTATGAAGTCTAACATATTTAGAAAAGATTGACATCGAAAAAAAATTTCAATTTTTTTCAAAAAGTTTTTGGTATATATATATATATATCTTTTATTGACTCTTTAGATGTCATGACCTGACATATTAGTCATTACAAAATGAAATTTCACAAAACTACACTACACTACACTAATATATACAATTTATACAAAAAACTTGTTATTTACATATGTTATAATATACTTTAGGTGTGCTGCATCCAAAATGTTAATCTCCAGGCAAGTTTAAGTTTTTGAATGATTTTGTAATAAAACTTCCAACTTGCTTTTGCACATATTTATCTTTTGAAGATATTAACATAATGAATGTATTTTCAGGATCATGTTGATCAACATTAATTTTGCTAGTGATGTTGTCAAACAATATTTTTCTATTTTCTCTATGTAAATGGCATTTAATCATGAAATGAACCTCATTTTCTATTTCCCCACAAAAGTTACATAATCTTTCATATTCAGGTTTTGGCCGTGGTTTTACATGTCTACCCAGTTCTATTTGTAATTTATGTGAACTTAATCTCAGTTGTGAAATTGATTGCCTGTGATTTTTGTTTTGAAGGCTTAAATATTGTTCTCTTTCAAAAGTTGTTTTGAATTTAATGTATGTTCTTAAAACTGGGTATAATTGTAAATCACACTTCCATTTCTCCTTATAATTTTGGTACAATATTTTAGTTAGGTTCTTTTTAAATACATAGTCATCCTCAACAACTTGTTCATTCCAAGTGCTTTGGAGATTACAATCTTTTAAAATATTATGAACCTTACTTGACCAAGTATTTTTAAATCCTAAACTGTACATTTCATAATCATATAGATATGCTTTATAAAGGAGGTTATCTGGACAAAGTTGTATAAGCCGTATCCAATATTTAATAAGATGAATATCAAAGTACAAACTAAGTGGAAAACGACCCAGCTCTCCATAGACTGCTAGGGTTGCAGTTGATGTTTTCACACCAAGGATACTTTTTAAAAAGGACAGGTGAATAGTTTCAAGTGACTTGATATGTTTTTTACTTGACCATATTTCTGAACCATACATCAAAATTGGTTGGACAAGTGAATCAAATAAATGTAAGGCAACGGATATGGGAATGTCATTAAACTTGTGATATTGTTGCTTTATTTTGAATAAAGCTTTTCTAGATTGTTCGGTACCTTAGTGACATCACTAATGTTTCAAAATATTTTTGATATGCTAAAACATTGAAGTGGCCCATTAAATATGGCATTTTATTATTGAAATAGTGTGTCCTTTGTTCAATCTTTGCATTGGTGTTAAAAAGATAATCTTTTTTGAAATGCATTAAGAAATATTTGATGATTAAGAAATTTCAACTTTTTTTGAAAAATGGCGGGAAATTTGAATATTTGAGAAATGAAATGCTCATAACTTTTTTTTCAAAATTTTTTTTGTTCAAAAATCTCTAAAATCACTTTTTAAGTCCTGGCAAATAGTAAATGAATGATAAAAAAATATTTTCAAACTTTAGACGGGGACTTTAATTCTGTATGTTTTATGTTAACCTCTTGACTACCCAGAATGGCGAGATTTCTCGTCATCTCAGAAATGACCTTGAAACCCAGAGGGATGAGAAAATCCGTCACAAAATTTTTCACAAAATTTGCTCTCATTTGAACAATTTTCATACAATTTACACAAAAATTGTTTTAAAACATGTAGAAATGATCTCTGCCATCTAATTTTACTAAGTTGAGCATCTTAAGTTGTGTAGGTATGTAGAAAAATGTCAAAAGGTGGCAAAAATGAAAAAATTCTCTGGTTTCAACCAATTTTAGAGCATGGGATTCAAGAGGTTAATGCATACTTCTGAAGATGCATATTGTTCTATATTTCCTATATATCTATTTGTTTTTATATTAATTGTTTTTTTTAAATTTTTTAAATTTAAGGCCCATTTTTGATAAGTTGGCAAAAGCCCAAATTATGCCCATTTTTGAGGCCCTACAAAATTTTTGGGCCTCAAAATTTTTTGGGCCTCTAAAATATTTTTCTGAGCCCACCCAAGGGGGGGGGGCAAGCCCCATGGGTCCCCCCCACTGGATTCGCCAGTGCAGTCAATATAGAAAATCAAAACTCCTCCAACATGATAGTTATATAGGCCTAAATATACCTTTATGTAATGGTAGAACTCACATATACACATACATACATATTTTGAAATACAATTTAATATCTCAATATCTATGGGACTCTGTGTATGCCTGTATATGTGGTGACATATTGTTATTGTCTCCAACTTTTTTGTGGATAGTGTTTAGTGTTTGATGGTCAGCTTTCTGTGGTCGCCATCTGTAAAAATGGAAGGTGGTGATATTTTGCATAAAAATGCCTTGTTTATGTTATGTAATATTTTTATTTTACTTGGTTTGTGTTGCAATATATTCCTACTCCCAAACACATTTGTGTTCATTGTTTTATTTTTTGATTATAAATAAACAGCTCTCCAATGTGAAGAGGTAGTTATGTATAATTGGATTAATAATTCCCTAAGTGTATTGACACAGTGTATTTTAGTTGTCTCATCTTGACAAGGATGTCCCTTGTAAATTAGAAAAACCAGTTCAAATTGACAAAAATGAGAATTCGTCAAAAGCATCAATGTATGCCTATATGAATGTCCTTTTATTCATTGTGACATGTAGAAAACATGCAGACAAATACAGCTTGGACTTTTGTATTATGATTATAGAGGTATGAAGATATCCAATTTTTGATAAATATTGATATGGATTGTGAATACAAAAAGAAATTACTGACGTCGATTATTTATGTTCGCATTTTTAATGAGTATTAAAATAACGAACAAATAATATTTCTATGTTCGCAAATTCAATGCAACATTCAATTAGCACAACTTCCGGTTAGTTCTTGGCAACCACAAAACTTATTAATTTAAATCGTTACTTTGTCCATTTTCTCTGAATTCAATATGTCTAACGAGGTTTATATGAAAGGTGACATAACCGTTGTTGCCAATGAAATGAAAAAATTGGTGAACAATAAAGAAATGAGGTAAGTCTTGGACGGTAAAAACTTATTTTCAAGTTCAAAAAATGAAATCTTTCTCACTGACTGAGGTTCTCACACTTACAAACAAGTCTTGGTGTCCTTTTTAAATCGGATAAAACCCACTGAAAAGCGATAATCTTAGCACAATTAACAATCAAACTTTGGGCTTTGGGCTTCTTCATAATTTCTGTTTTCTGTAGTCTACCTTAGAAGTTTAAATACATATGCCAACTCGATTTTTTAGACATGTTCTCGGGCCTGTGATTTGTATAGTGCTCACCATATATAAATGGCATCTTGATTTTCTATCATCATTCCCAGACCATGGTGATATGAGACTTAATACTTTTCAATAATATCTAGATACACATCCCTCAAGTTTTGTATATTTTACATTTTGTATACTCTCAACTACTAATGTATGGTCACGTGTAAATTCTCTTCTTTCTAACATTCGAAATCCTCTCTTCAGCAACAGATATCATTCATTTATGGTGAGCACTGTAGTATATTCGATAGATCTACAAAGTGTCCTCATGTCGACACTGCCTTTTAGATACACATCCCTTAAGTTTTGTATATTTTACATTTTGTATACTCTCAACTGCTAAAGTATGGTCACTCGAAAGTTCTCTTATTTTTTATCATGGGAAATCCTCACTTCAGCAAATCCAGGTGTCATTCATTTATGGTGAGCACTGTATGTACAGTATATTCAATACATCTACAAAGTGTCCTCAATCCTCATGTCAAGTCTGATTGACACTGCCCTTCTTTTCAAAACCAAGCCTTCTTTGGTTGCTGTGCATTGGTGATCTTCCATTTTGAATCATTGGTTGAATTTGCTACATACATGTACCTTTATAATGTCGTTGAATCCAGGGCGTTGGATGAAAAGGGGGGTGCGTCTTCCAGACAGTGTATGCCCTAAGGATTCCAGAGCTGCTGGTCAAAAAGGCATTACTGACCAGTTGCAATGTTATTTTCCTATACCTAGTGAAAAAATCAACTGGTCAGTATCAAAAGTAACCAGATAATGACCAGCTGTCCGACGCTTAAGGCGTGCCCTGCTTCCAGAAAATATAGGTGGGCTGGGAAAAACGTGCATGGCCGAAGGCTGCGCATCTTGGGGGATCCAGAATTTTTTTTTCAAAGACGTTATTTGGTGCAATCTAAGCGTTTTCAGCTATACGTAAATAGTTCTTTTCGATTGAAACCATGGGTTTTCAACAGAAGGGGATGCAACTTCCTGTATTTCATACATGAGTATTGCCTTGGGGTTTCAAAATTGGAGAAAAATGCTTCCTGTACACATTCCAAGAAAAATCTTATTTTGTACTTTTCATGTATGATTTAAGAAATAACTCAAAAATAAAAACATGAAATGGAATTCATCATAATTATGGCAATAATGAAAGTGAACATTCTCCCACAAATAATATTTTTATTGGAATGCGTTGGAATAATTACCCACAATGCAACATTCGAAGAGAATATTTTGATACCTCTTTTTCTAATTAGTCTTTTTTGTTTACTTTTAAATGAGATTAAACATGTTTTATGCTTTAATCATATTCAAAATTGATTTTTCTTCAAGATAATACTAAAACATACATATTTATTTAAAACTGAAATATTATCAAAAAGGGAAGCATGGCACCATGGGCATTCAATCTGTTGAAAGCCAATGTTACTTTCAAACCAAATATTCATAAGTTTTATTTTATTTTTCTTTATTTTTCAGCGATATCAAATTCATGATTGGACCCAACAGAAAACCTGTCTATGCCCATAGATGTATCCTCTCAACCAGATGTGATGTCTTCAGAGCCATGTTTTCAGACCAAGAAAGCAAATCTGACAAAAATAACAAAGAAATTCCATTTGTTTTGTCGGATATCACACCTGATATATTTCTAGCTGTCATGGAGTATATCTACACCGGATGTGTAAGCCTCACAGGGAAAATTGTAAGTTGAATGCCAAATATGGCGATGTTTGTAGATTTGTATATGAAGCAATTCATCCGTAAATCCATTTCCTATGTTAAATGCATTTCCTATGTTATTCCCTAACTTTAAAGACATTTTTAACTCAATACAATGCAGAATCAATACAAGGTTTTCATGTAGTCTCGATTATTGAATCTTACTATAGATTTTCATGTTTTAATCTGACTTTCAGGCAATAGATGTCCTTGGCAGTAGCATTGAGTATGGTTTAGATGAACTGAGGAAGGTAAGATTACTTGTATATTATGCGAAAACCCACTTTCAAAATAAAGGCTTGTTATACTATTATCTCGCAGATCTATGGTTTTTTAAGGAGTTTGCTTTTAAATGCCCGTAATTTAGAAGTGCTAATACTTTACTTATTGAATCAAATATGTACTAAGAATCCAGAAATAGTACCAGCAAAAAATTTCGAAATCCAAGCACCATGTTCTGTTTAAGAACCCCTATTCTTACTTTTGAAAATAGATTCTAGCAATACTATCCACCATGAATTTACTTGTTGAGATTCAATCAACTTGAGTTCTTCTGAGAAAATGAGGATTTAGCAAGGGTGTATTGACTCAACATGGGGACATACACTATTGACCATTGACTTAGCATGGGGATACCATCAGGTATGTCACCATGTAAAGTCAATGCACCCTTGCTGAAATCCTCATTTTCTCAGAAGAACTCAAGTTGATTGAATCTCAACAAATAGATTCCTGTTGGATAGTATTGCTAAACAGGACATTAAAGCTTAACTCGGGGCTTAACTAAGGCCTTTTTGAAATTTTTGTTTAGTACTAAAAAAATGTTGGATCTGGAATTTTAAACTCAATTAAAGTAAACCAGAAACAAATGTATATGTTGCTGTTAATTTACTTTAAGAATTTCATTTGAGTGTGACTTAAAAAGGTAAACATTTTGTACTTAATATTTCTTTCTCTATTTTACCCTGTAGCTGTGTAACCAGTACCTCGTTGAAAACCTTAGTATCAACAATGCATGTGACGCCATGCAGGCAGCTGTTACATATGGACAGGATGATCTCAGGGCAGAATCCATGTGTTATATAGAGGAAAATACACAGGTATTCCAAAGAGTTTTTTTTACATGGATTTGATGATGTAGAATTATCTTTGGCAGAATCCATGTGTTATATAGAGGAAAATACACAGGTATTCAAAAGAGTTTTTTTTACATGGATTTGATGATGTAGAATTATCTTTGGCAGAATCCATGTGTTATATAGAGGAAAATACACAGGTATTCCAAAGAGTTTTTTTAGATGGATCTGATGATGTAGAATTATCTTTGGCAGAATCCATGTGTTATATAGAGGAAAATACACCGGTATTCCAAAGGGTTTTTTACCTGGATTTGATGATGTAGAATTATCTTTTGCATCTCATAAACATCTAAAAAATCCAAGTGTTATATAGAGGAAAATACACAGGTATTCCAAAGAGTTTTTTACATGGATTTGATGATGTAGAATTATCTTTTGCATCTCATAAACATCTAAAGTGCAAATGTACTATGGAGAATTTAGGGTTTCTTATGTCGATTTGTCTTTGAGAAATCACAACCTCTCAAGTGTCAGAATATTTTTTTGTTCTGTATTTCCTATTTGAGCCCATTTGAGGAAAATTGGTGCAATTAAACAGTTGACATTTTACATTTATTTCTAAGCAAAAATTCTCAAAGGAGTATTCCAAAAAACTTGTTTTTCTATTTCAGAATGTTTTTAAATCCAAAAGTTTCCATGAGATGTCAGAAGAAGCATTGTCTGTTGTACTTCAAAGTGATAGGTTAATGATGGACGAACCTGATGTGATAGATTGTGTACGGGAATGGGCCACAGTGAACTCTGTAAGTGTCCTTGTATCTACTGTACAAATTAAGAATCCACTTGAAACTTTTCACTGTTATGTCACCACCAAAAGTGGTGACATATTGTTATGGTTTCCATTTTTTGTGATGACAGTTGGCCATCGGTGGTTGGTGATCAGCGATTGGTGGCTCACGATGGGTGTCTAACAATATTGTGAGCAACTATGTGGTGACATTTTGTCATGTTAATGCCTTGTTCTAAATTAAGGTCATCACCAGAAGTGCGGTCAACCGGTGGTTGGTGATCGGCGATTGGTGGTTGACAATCGGTGTCTCTAACCATATTGTGAGCAACTATGTGGTGACATTTTGTCATGTTAATGCCTTGTTCTAAATTAAGGTCATCACCAAGAAGTGCGGTCAACCGGTGGTTGGTGATCGGCGATTTGTGGTTGATGATCGGTGTCTAACAATATTGTGAGCAACTATGTGGTGACATTTTGTCATGTTAATGCCTTGTTCTAAATTAAGGTCATCACCAAGAAGTGCGGTCAACCGGTGGTTGGTGATCGGCGATTTGTGGTTGATGATCGGTGTCTAACAATATTGTGAGCAACTATGTGGTGACATTTTGTCATGTTAATGCCTTGTTCTATATTAAGGTCATCACCAAGAAGTGCGGTCAACCGGTGGTTGGTGATCGGCGATTTGTGGTTGATGATCGGTGTCTAACAATATTGTGAGCAACTATGTGGTGACATTTTGTCATGTTAATGCCTTGTTCTAAATTAAGGTCATCACCAGAAGTGCGGTCAACCGGTGGTTGGTGATCGGCGATTGGTGGTTGACAATCGGTGTCTCTAACCATATTGTGAGCAACTAGGTGGTGACATTTTGTCATGTTACTGCCTTGTTCTATATTAATTTCATCACCAAGAAGTGCGGACATATTGTTATTAGCCTACTATAACTTTTTAATGACAAGCATTTGGTGTTAGCATCTGTAATATTTGTTACACTTTTGTGACAATTTGCAGTAACTTATTAACAATTTTTTGTGCATTTACATAGACAACACACGTTATCAGATTATAAGACTGGTTCATTTTAACATAGTTGTAATTCAAGTACACTGTAGTCATGAACTATAGCTGAAGAAGATGAGGTTAGATTTGCTTGAAAAATCAAATGATAAAATACCTAATGAGAGTTAATTCCCAGGAATAAATTAATATAGGATCCACAGAGAATGCTACGTGCAAACTACTACAGTACAAACATGTGATGATTTCGATTTTGATCAGACTAACGTTGTAGTTCAATTCGTTTTTTACACAAACATTTTTGATTAGGAATGTCACACCTTTTCCCATACTTTCATTGGATGCTTACTCTGATAAGTATCCATGTAATGACAGGTTGGGATTTGATCTGGCCTCAAATCTTGCCCATCGCTTCCATTATGATTACACTAGATCAAAGAGTCTCTGGGGTCTCTCAAGTTAATTAACATGGTTTACCTGTCAGTGTGTATTATGGATTTTTCTTTATTCTTTAATAAGAGCCAATGAGAGAGAAAGTATGTACATAATGAAATAATATTGAAAAGTGATAAAATAATCAAAAATGTGTGTAGAAATGCCAGGAAGCAAGAAAATCATAGATGTTTCAAGAAAAAATACAATAACAAATATAAACTGGTGTGAATTTCCTAACAAGCTAGTCAGGCCAGTAGCCAGCTTTTGTCAAGGGGGCTTCACAAAAAAGTCCAGGGGGTTCCAATTGACAATATTGGCCCAAAATCACTGGAAAAGTGCTCGGAATTATGAAATTCAGCATGATTTTGAAAGAAACTTTATCCAAGGAGGGAGGGTTTGTTTGAACCCCTGAACCTCCCCCTGGCTGTTGGCCTGCTAGTTGGTAGAGTTTAGGGGTTTCCAAATCCAATCAAAGAAAAAATTCATCCACTCATGAGGTACATGAAAAATATAGACAAAAAAGGCAGATAGAGGCAAATAGAGGGTGAAATATCAGAGTGAAATAATACAAGCCTCTCTGCTAGAAGAGGATAAACGTTGTAATAATCAGACGATGGTTGTAATAATGATAAATCAAAATGAGCGATCATTTATGACGGGAGTCTGCTAAAATATACAACCGTGACATGGTCTTTAATCAAGATTTAACACCCATATCTCGTGACACAGAATTTTTCCAATAGTGATCTATTACCCTCTTAGGAATTTCATTCCGCTTTACTCGTGAATAAAATATGAAATGTCCATGTTTTTTAATTGCAAAGTGGACACGATTTTGTATAGAAATTAAACCGAACATTCATTAAAATATCATCACTAGCTTCAAGAAATCAAGCATGGTATCTAATTCATACTCTGAGAGAATGTATTGTTTTGCACTAAACGATTGAAACATGTTTTAGTGGTATTTTATTGTTTTATCAATAGATCTGATTGATATTATATCCAGGCTGATGCGAAATAGCCTTATCGGGATTCTATGAAGCAAGGTTTGCAGAGATATGCAGTTAGAAATCAGTTTTTGATTTAAGATGTTGGTGTACATTATTACTAACTGGTTAAGCTATGGTTTATGACTCTCTCGGGCATATCTGCACCTATTGGAATAAACTGTTTTAGGAAATCATTTACTTGCTTGGCCCAGACAAGGGAACTAATAATGCACATATGCTGTTCCTATGATAAAAGCTAGCTAGGGTATTCAATTGAACCATTTTTATTGCACAAAAGAGATATAGCTTTTCAGAGTCTGTCTTTTCACACTATGATAAACCATGACATCTCAATTCCTCTCAGCCATAAGGTTTTAGTAAATTAGAAAGATGTGAGTAGTATCAGATAGTACATTCATAGCTGTACTAGTTTGCAGTTTGCACTACCTAGAATGCCTAAAGGTGATCAGTAATGCCTTGGTCACATTTGCTGCGATTCATCGGCCAGCGCCCGACCGATTGAGTATTTTGTTCAAAATTGAATACATTTCTGAACAAAACACTCAATCGGCCGGGTGCCTGAGTGAAAATCGGAGCAAATGTGACCAAGGCATTATATATGTATTATCTTAATGGATTTGCATTTAATATTGGAATTGAAAAATAAAACACAAATAGGACAACAATGTATTTTGTTGTATTAGTGTCATGGTTCATACTTTTTCAAAATTGCTAGTATAGTAAAACCCCTGAAGAATTTTTGAAATTCAGAATAGCTAGAGCCTCTCTTTAAAGCCATGATTTGTGTCAAGAATACCCCAGAGGCTTTAAAATATAAGTTTGAATGACTTTCTAGACTACTGATGAATTCCATCTTTATGGGAAAGTAATATCACCATTAACACGTTTTATATTTTGTATAATTTAGGTTGTTATGGGAAAATCAATGAGTGAAGTGGCCAGAAAAGTTGTGTACCATCTCAGAATTCCTCTCCTGACCCCTGAGGAACTACACGCTCTAGAAGAAGAGACTAGGAAAGACAAACTGTTGCCGGTAAGTCTCAAGATTGTTATAGCATTAAATAACTTCTAAGATAATCAAGACATCTTTCTTATTTCACATTCAGCCAAATCAAATAAAATGGTAAAATGTCCATAATTTATAGCAAAGCATATGCACAGTCATGAATTCAAATAAAATGAAAAAATTCCATAATTCATAGTATATGCGCAGGCATCAATGCAGAAGAACGTCCCAAGAATATGAATGAGACTTTTCATGAAGGGAAGACTCTAGCATACACATTTGTAATCCTGTAATACAAGTCAGACACTGATAAACAACTACATGTGCGATGGGATGAATGTACGTTGAAATGCTACTATGGGAGATGTGATATTCATTGAAAATACTCTCAAACATCACACTATATTTAAGAAATATCTCTGAATAGGAGTCTGTCCCTTTCATCCACAGATGACATTTCTCAGGACATTCAAGAATGTTTATTCTTGCCTTTATTTTGATTAATTTACATTTGACTTAATCTGTGGTTGACGTCAAGTTTCTTTGAAGCATTTGCCCGCTTAGAGGACTATGATAACCATTAATGTCATCGAGTAAGGCAACCAATTTATAATACAAACCTTCTTTGTAAAATTAATTCCCAATTTTGACGAAACTGATGTTTTGTATAGTCTCCAGATTTTTGTGGATGGTGTTCGGCAGTTGGTGTTTGGCAGTGCCTGAGTGGGCAGTTGGTGTCTGTTACAAATTTCAGGTCGTTACATTTTACATGTTATAATGTTTTGTTTAGAATTCCTGGTCAATTGTTCAACAAATGCAAAAACAAAAAGGACAAGTTTACATTTCATGAAATAAACAAGTAAATGGAAAATTCAAAGTAGATGAGTGTTATTTGGTCATTTTATTTATGAATATTTAAAATAAAAGTTACAATTACCCACTATCTAATGAATAAATAGATCTTCCCTTTAATAATTCACTACTTAAAATAAAGCTTGAGATAATTAGTAAGTGATTATTTTGTGTTCTCACTCAACTATGGAGAGGTCATGTTGATAAAGGTGTCATATGACACATTTGATTGACTTCTCTGACAATCTGTGAAGCCCTGAGAAATGAATTTAAAAAAAAAATTGGATTGGAATGTAGAATGTTGGAAGCAATCTTTCCAAAATCATGACTATGTTTTCTAACAACCTTAAAATTTATAGAAAAAAATTATTGAAAATTTAAGAAGCAGAAATGTCCAAATAACATAAGCCCTTTTCATTTTTTCCCAGCAAACCATAGAAATCAAATGATTATTCTGAAATAGAGTCAGAAATGTTTGACCTTTTAGAAAAAGGCATGGCATGGAATTAAATGAGCAAAGAATATAATTGTAAGATTGTTACAATTTTAAGGAAACTAACTCTGAACTCATCCCTCTATAGCTTCTAGTACTTGTTAACATGGAGCCTTAATTTAGGAGCCTTAGTATTTATTTATTAAATGTCTGAATGTGAAATCGGTGTTCAAAAATATGGAAATGGATGCATATAATACTGGGCTTAGGTCAAAATGTTGAATGTGGTCAAAATGCGTAATCAAAATACAATGGATATATGTTTGGGGGATGAAAGTTGATTTCATTTTGAGTATCCTTGGAGATAATTAACAAAACAGCAGAGGCTCATTTGGAGTGGATATTGAAGGTTAAGCCAAAAAAGAGACAAAATTATGTTTTTATGGACTCCAAGGTTGATTTATTATTCTGACCCCTCTCCGAATGAATATAAATCTGAAAACCTAACATATTGATTGAATGCTTAATATTGATATTTGAAGAATGTGGCTGATTATGTATGTACATGTATGTAGTTTTCCCAATAAAATTGATAAATGAATGATTTAAAAATTGCAAAATACAGAGATTATTTATGCACCCAAAACACACATAGAGACCTAATTTACCGACTTCAAAAATCGAACATTTCACATATGACAGATACGAGTCTAGACAATATAGTTAATCTTTTGTTGGACATTCCATGCTAACACTAACCAGGCGTGAATTATTGTACTGTTAGACTGCATGTGAAAGAGATATATTTGTTAATGTCTAATGCCCTGACATTTCTCACATCACCTTCAATCCTCAAAGGATCTCATGATATTTACAAGCTCTTGATCCAAAAGTTTATTACGACATTCTGTTTCTTGCCTGTTTACAGCCAAGAGGGGGGAACAAGCTAGAAATGAAAGATACAGGGTAAAAGTTTAGACTTTAAATTATCTAAAAGTGTAAGGTGCTCTGACTTTTTATTCAAATAATTTTGAGAAAATAAGCGAAATATTCTCAGTCTGGTTAAACTGTTTGGGATGGACATCTGCAGAAATTCACAGAAGCAGAAGAGAAACAAATCCAAGATAACACAGCAGACGTTAGAAAACTTTCATTTTTTACAAAATTATATAGATTACATTTACAGTAGTTCGACATTTTACCATGGGCTTTCAACTTTTCTTGAAAGCCAATGATTTTACGCTTTAATGGAGATGTACAGTTTGCATGATCATGAATTTCTTGGCTTAATTAACCATTAGTAATTTTGGTGACATTTGTATCAGTTTTAGTTGATTCACGAATGCAATATGTCAGTGTTAATATTTTAGTTGGTGTCACTGATGTCATTTAATTTGTTAAATCTAACATTTAGTTTTTATTTTGTGCACTGAAAGGTTCTGTGCTGATGTCAAATAAATTATTAAGAATAAGTGTGATGTCATATAAATCATTGATAATTGAATTATGAGATCGTAATTATGAGATCGTTTTTGAGAAAAACAAAGATAGATCTTGTAAACAACTTGTTACATCGTCATCCTATAGAATCGACTTGCTGAGTCCTGAAAACTGTAAGTAACCAAAAATCGTCCCGACTCATTTCTCACAGTTTTAATAATCCCTAATAGGCTTAACTAAACCCAAAGACCTGATGTGAAAAATGCCGATTGGGATTGTGCTTGTTGAATTCAATTATGGAATGATCAGAGTTGCGAAAAGACCAACTACAATGTGTGAATACAGATCAAGGGAAGCTAATATGTAGGATTCCACCAAGTAGATTAGATGGGATAATGTGGTCGGTCTTACAGGATGCCATACTTCAATGTTTGTGAAAAGGCTCTAATTAAAGCTCAGTCCATTCATCAATCCACTCTAGGCCCTTTTTGTCGCCCTTTTGAAAAAGTGCTGTATTGTCTTCGTGTTGTGTTGATGGGTGTGGGGGTAGGTGCCACTTGAATCAGTTCTTGTTATATAGTTTCCACCAAAAAGTGGTGACATATTTTTAGAGTCACTATTTATGACTGGCTTACTAGTGTTTGGCAAATGGTTGCTCTTTTGTAATCACAACCAGGTTGTGTCAATACCTTGTTTTAGCATGTTCATGTTCTCCAAAATTTGGCTTGACTTGTAGTATGATGTTTGATATGGGCCGGGTGATATTTTCATCTGGTCTGGAAAATAACATTGCTACTGGTCCCTAATATCTTTTTCATGGTTTCAAATCAATAAGGTTCAAGATATACTAGAGATCAAAAGGCTTGAGCTATTTGTAGTACAGAATATAATCAGCAATATTAATTATATTTCAAACAAAACTTTGAATTGACCTTGTAGTCAGTTTTTGACCTTGACCTTGTAGTCAGTCTTTGACCTTGACCTAGTAGTCAGCCTTTGGCCTTCTCCGAAAGTAGTTTCCCAGCAATTTCAGCCCTTAAGTAGTACTGAGAAGGAACGGTATACAAAATCGAAAAAATGGTGTGAAGGATATGTAAATTGAAAAAACCAATGCAGTACTCTCATCATCAATCAACATACAAAGTTAACCCCAAACCAGGGCATTCATGCACATCCTTTTGAAGTAGCATAAAACAATTGCCTATGTTAAGCTATTTAAGCATCTTGGATATTCAATGTTGAGTTAAACTCGGTTAAACCAATCAATCAAAAGCCATGATTAGCAATGAAAGCATATCAATTATGTACACGTAATTGTAACGCATAGCACTTTACATTTGTAACCTGGCACTTTTGACATTTTCCTTAATGGCAGAGAGAAACTAAATTAAGCAAAGTTTCCAGTGAAAAGGTAGGTGTGATATCAACCACCCATTGCAGTTCATATTGTTAGGTATTGCACCTTTGTTATAAATTGGCCATTGTACTCTGTTCCTTTGTTCTCATGTCATTGAAATTAGATCTTTGACTTTCTCAAAAGAATCTTTCGAAAGAATAGTAGTAGCCATTGAAATCAGTTCTTTTACTTTTTCAAAAAAGCTCAAAAGAATAACTCAAAAGTAGCCATTGAAATTATTCATTCTATTTTTTCAAAAGAATAGCTTGAAGGACTAGACAAGGAAATTAATCTCTTTACTTTTCCAGAAAATAGCTCAAAAGGATCGTGAATGAATATTCTGATTTCATTCACTGACCTCAGTCTTAATGCAACTAGAAATATACATGACGTTAACATGCAAAATGTCACCACCTGCCATTTGTTACAGACACCGACTGAATTCCATCAACAAAAAAGTTAGAGACTATAACAATTTTGACATCTCTTCACCAAGTAAAGTAACCCCCCCTATTCATAAGTAGTGTGTTCTTTAAATATTCAATAAACTAAACAATATCAATGTAAACATGTACCATGTACAATACATGCAAATTCAATGTAAAAAAAGTAAAGTAAACCATACCGAGTGAAGATGAACCTTCTCTCAGACAAATATTTAGTCTTGATGCATATTTACTTGTCAGTGTTAGTCTCAGATATTGGATGAAATCAATTGTTAATCGAGGTGTGACAATAAATTGATGGCCAGTGAGACTCTCTTCGTGTCCACCATGGCGACCATGTCAGCTTCATATTAATATGTTTACCATGTAACATCTAGTATACCCTTTGCAAAAGCTAAACTGAATCTTCACTCTACAGGAGAGATTATTCTGTGACACTACAGTCATGACACCACATTTT